AAAAATAATTATGTATCCGTGTATATAACATCATTAGTCCCTTTGGTTCAAAACCTAATTTTTTTTTGTCCTTTTTGCCATTTCAAAGTTTTTTTTTTTTTAAGAAATACGAAAGAATGAAAAAATAAGTAAAATATGAAAAAAAGATATTTTTTAAAATAAAAAATAAATTATTTGTGGTCAACACTAATTAAAAAAATTAAATAATTTATATTTGAAACCAAAATAATTAATTCATTCTTTTTTCAAAACGAGAAGAACTAATTTATAATTTAATTTGTAATTTAAGAATCACTTTCATCATAAATTAAGAATTAAAATTTATGAGAACCAATTCTTTAGTAGTTTTTATTTCAATTAATTGACTTCAATATATTTCATACAACTTAGATTATATTTTTTTGAAAAACATTATTTATATTTTATACTCTGAATCTATTAAATACGATCGTAATATATATATATTGAAAATTAATTATGTATCTCAATACATTACACCATTAGTCCATTTAGGTCAAAAAAACTATATATTTTTGTCCTTTTTGCTATTTTAATTGTTTTCTTTTTTGTTTTAAGAAATAGAGAAAGAATAAAAAAATAAGTAAAAACATGAGAAATGTTTTTTCCAAAATAAAAAAATAAATTATTCATGGTCAACACTGATTGAAAAAATAAAATAATTTATTTTTGAAACCAAATTAATTAATTAATTAATTTTTTAAAATGAGATGACCTAATTCATAATTTAATTTGTGATTCAATAATATCTTTCATCATAAATTAAGTAGTTAACTTTATGAGAACCAATTTTTTAATATTTTTATTTTAATTTATTGACTTTAATATATTTCATACAACTTAGATGATTTTTTTAATAAAATATTTATATTATATACTCTGAATTTATTAAGTATGATCATAATATATATATCATTAGTTTGATTGAAAAATTAATCATGTATTTGAATACATTACACCATTAGCTCCTTCAGTTCAAAAACTAATTTTTTTTATCCTTTTTTCTATTTCAATTGTTTTATTTTTTTGTTCTAAGAAATAGAGAAAGAATAAAAAAATAATTAAAAATATGAGAATTTTTTTAAATAAAAAAATAAATTATTAGTGGTCAACACTAATTGAAAAACTAAATAATTTATTTTTAAAACTAAAGGAATTAATTAATTCATTTTTCAATATAAGATGAACTAATTTATAATTTAATTTGCGATTCAATAATCTCTTTCATTATAAATTAAGAAGTTAAATTTATGAAAACCAATTTTGTAATATTTTTATTTCAATTTATCGACTTTAATATATTTCATACAACTTAGATGACTTTTGTTTTTGAAAAAAATATTATACTATATACTTTGAATCTACTAAGCATGATCATAATATATATATATATATATATATATATATATCACAAATTATTTGTTATTTATTCTTTTTTGTTCTAAAACCATTATTTTTAAATAAAATAATTGAAATAATGTTTTGAAAGAGCTTTTCAATTATTCCAATATAACTTTTTATGCAATATTATTGATTATTTTTCTAATAAATATATATAAATCAAACGATTTTGCTCAATAAATAAATTTTATTTACGGTAATTACAAAAAATAAGATTTTTACTTGTGCTTATATCATACGAATTCGTTGACCTTACGTATCCAATTATTGTTTGACTGCAGTATATCGTAGGTATCTAACTAGTTGAAATCTAAATTAACTATAAAATGACAAACATGCATAAAACGAATATAGGATTAAAAACAAAGATCTATTATTATTATTATTATTATTAGTAGTTATGTTTTTGTTGTTGTGTTGGGGGGAAGGAGGGGGGGGGGGGTGAGGTGTTATTCTTTTTTTATTTAAACTGATTGTGCATGGGTCGAGCCAAAGCCCAACCCATTGTTTTTTCTGGCCCAAGAACTAGCCTATTAATTGACTGGAAACAAAACCATTTCCCTCTTTATTTCGATCAAAGCTCCTTCTTTACCTCTCTCACTCATCTCTTTCTCTTCTCTCGTCTTTACTGCTAAGAACCCTCTTTCTTTTCCTAGGCAAAGCGACAGAAATCCAAGTCGATCTACTGGGATCGAGAGGACCTAACCCTATGAACCCTTCTTTTCTCTCTAATCAAGATAGATTTGAACTCTCTCCCTCTCCTTTCTCTCTTTCTTGTCCCCATGAGTGAAAACTCCTAACTTGTTTTGATTTTTCTTCCTTTCTCCCTCTTTCTGCCCGAATTAGTTTAATTCCTCTTGAGATCAAGTGATCTCAAGTCCTCTAGAACCTAATTCCCCGAAAATCCCTAAATTTTCACTACCCTAGAATCCCAGAAAAACCTAGGTTTTGTTCTAGTTCAAACCAGCCCCAAATCGAGATATAAACCCTAAATCAAGCCTTCACACGCCTATAATCAACCTTCCTTCTAAACCTAAACCATCAATTTCTCCCTCAATCGAAAAAAAACCCCAAATTTCTGATCCCAAATTGAACACAACCGGAAAACCCTAAATTCCAATGTGAAAGTTTTATTCGGGTCCTTCTATTGAATAAAAGTGAGGGCGTATGTGTAACTGCGATGAGTTATTTTTCGAGAACGGCAGTGATAAACATCACTGCCATCATGTTTCAGAAGATGAAAAGAGACTACGTTAACGGTGTAGCTTAAAAGGAAGAGCCTAATCAGAAACTTGGATACTGCAGGTGGTTTCTGTAGCTATGATACATGGAGGTACTGCATCCATGAACGTTCAGGGCTTTCAGCAAGAAGAGCTTCAACGCACACAGGGAAAGAATCAAAGAGGTAACTTATCTGCTGACATTAGAAATGAAACCTCTTCACGATATATTAGATAAAGGCCACATACGAGTTGAGTGATATATAGAGCGACAAGCATTATAAGGTTTTCTTTATGATATCCAAGAAAAGAAACAAGGGTCTGGGTTCTTATCAGAGCAAGCGTCTTAATAAATCAACAGATCAGTTGTGATACATAGTCTTGAATTTTTTTTCGACAAAGAAAAGGAAGAAGCATGTCATTGAAGAGACTTTGCATTTCATCTCTTTTTAAATGTGTTGATGTCTTGTTCCAGGTAATCGAAGGGCAGGCAGCTGTTCATAGGTGCAGTTGTGAGATAGATTTCACAGGGCTAGAACATCCAAGAATTCCTCCAACAGTGATGATGCCGAAATTTACGAACATGTTCGGCGTGTTTCAATTGGTATAGTAGGAGAAAGAAACATTGAAATAGCTCCAAGCTTCATGGGAAGTAAAGATTTTGCTTTCTACCTTGATAAAGTTCCTGGATCCTTTTATTTTATTTTTTATTATTAGTTATCTTTTGATACCTAACATGTGGTGTAGACTGCTTTGATTTTTTTTCTTTTTCAGTTTTTTGAAACCCCCCTTGAATCCTGTCTTTTATTACTGTTTATATAGACTGCCCATTTGTCGGTTCCTCCCATGATGGTGAGGGATTTTGCAGGATTGTGGTAGTGGGCAGTTGCGTGCTGGTTGTGGGGTGACTGCAGGTGTTGTGGCATGTTGGGGGGACTGCAGGTGTTGTGGAGAGTGGGGAGTTGTGTGCTGGTCGTGGGGTGACTGCAGGGGTTGTGGCATGGTGGGGGTGTTTGCTGGTGGTTGCAGGAGTTGTGGCATGATGAGGGTTGTGGAGAAGTTGGCAGTTGTATGGGAATGATTGCAGAAGGGGAGTGAGGAGTTGGCTGACTGCTGGAGTTGCGGCATGATGAGGCAAGTGTAAGGGGATGCTGCAGCAGTAGCAGGTTGCTAAACCTGGATAGCAAACTGGGCTGAGGGATTGTTCAGGATAGCTAGGAAATGCACGAAAGATGGAGGGGATTTGTCCCTCGATCCCTGTTTTCTTTTTGTTGTATTTTATTATTTTTGTAATTTTCTGTAATTTTGTAATAAGTTCCAAGCAAATAAATAAAAATTTTGTTGATTATCCAATTTTTTTGGTCGATTTTTTTTTTTAACTAAAGAATAAAAATAAAGGAAGAACAAAAGAAACTAAAAATAACCACTAAAAGTTTAAAATGAGCAAAAATTGGGTTATGACAAATATCATAAAAACACAATCTCTTGTACACATTAAAAGTTTAAAACCGCCTTCTCTCCCTCTTTTTGAGAGAGGGAGAATCTATAACAGGCTCACTCTCTTCCTGCCAAGTCATCTTTATCTCCCAAGCACCCTGCACATAATTAACAACGATGATATATGATAGTAATAGAAGTCTTATCTTTTCATACTTGATATGACTTTGTAATCCTATTCCATGTCATATTCTATAAAAGATAAAAGAGTGTCACAAGTTAAACTACCAAGTATATATATTTGCACTCTGGAAGACTTCTCTCATCTTAACTCTGCCCAACAAGTTAATTTGCATAATCTAAAAGCTCCATTCTTTTTGAGGTACTTCACCTTTTCTTTTTAGTTCTGCATATGAAATACTACTACTTTTTGTTTTTTGGTTTTTGTTTTGAAGAATTACGTATGCAAATAATTTGTTTATTTTGTGAGAAGGGATATTTTTCTTTTTATTTGGTTGGATTCATCTATCTATTTCTTACACACATATGCTGCAAGAACGTTTTCTCCAAATTCCAATGTGATTCTCCAAATTAATTCCAACCCTTGTTTTGTGATGCAATTATACTATACTATGTTTCTGTCTTTTCCATATACCATTATAAATTTGTAAATTTGGGGTGCTTCAATTCTGATTTTCATCAGAGAACCCTTCGTAGAAAAAACTTGAATTATTAATTAGCAGTTTAGCTAGATTACATAGGAAATCCTAAAGATCTGTTTCTTGCAAGGCACACACTATAATCCACCATAGCTGAAACTCTAACTATTACGATGAAAAATCTTATACCTCAAAATTAAGTTGGAGAAGAATGCTAATGTTTAATTGTCATGCATTTTTACAGTGAAGTTGAAGTTAGCAACTTATGGGTCAATGGCAGAATCTTCCAAAAGATTTGTTAAATATAATCCAAGAGCTGGTTGTTTCGTATGCTGATAAACTTCGATTTACTTCCGTTTGTAAGTCATGGAAATCTGCCTTACCAAGGATGCCTAACCCTTTCAGACAGCTTCAACTTCCTTGGCTGTTGCTACCATGTAACGAAACTAGTCAGTCAACTTTTGGACTATTCAACATTCTAGAGAAGAAGACTTACTATCTCGATTTACCCAAGGCTAAACAGATGTGGTTTAAAGGATCATCCCATGGTTGGGTGGTTGGTCTTGAGGGTCATGACGAAATCTATCTCATGAACCCACTCACAAGGGCTAGAATCCAACTTCCATCTAGATCGAAGTTTCCTGATATTGCAGAATATTGTGCTAGTGACCGTGACAATGAGTATGCTATGTTTAATTATAGATCAGGTCAGAGATTTGATACTAATTTTTCAAGTTACAAAGTCCTAAATCATTTAACAGATAAGTTTTTTCTATCATCAAATCCCATTTTGTCAGATGATTATATGGTCGTGGCTATCTATGGAGAATCTAGTAGACTGGCTTATTTTAAACATGGAGATGATAGATGGAATTTTCTTCCTACAAAAGTTGCTTGTTTTTCAGATGTAACTTTTTATAAGGGGAAAATTCTTGCTTTATGCAACAATGGATTACTGCAGATTGTTGACATCTATCCTCATTTTCGAACACAGGACATAGCACCACCATATCCTGAGGTCAGACAGCCACCATATCGTAAGTTTTCATGTTCTGAACCCTACTTAGTAGAGTCTTCTGGTGGGCTTTTGCTGGTTGAACGACAAGTGAAAGCTTCAAGTGACCCTAAAAGGATATATTCATACGAAACAGTCAACTTCAATATATTTAAACTTGATGGTTCGAAGTGGTGTAGAATTACAGATATTGGAGATGATGTTTTGTTTATAGGATTTAACACTTCGATGTCAAGATCATCCCTAGAATTTCCTGGATTAAAGAAGAATAGTTTATATTTCACGGATAACTTGTTTTGCTATCACTACGAAGAAATCCAAGGTGGATTTGATATAGGTGTTTTTGACTTGAATAGCAACAGCATTGAGCCATTACCGGGATACAATTGTAATTCTTATCTAGTTAGTCCACCACCAATTTGGGTCATACCGGCTCCATAATTGATTTTTGAGTTATTGATTAGGAGGTTGTTTCATTTTCTTAATAATAGTAAGTTCCTTTTCTTTCCTATTCATTAAGTAAATAATGCTGCAATAGTGACAATTTAACTAAGTAGGAGAGTGGAATAAGTGAGTCATTGCCCAATAAGAGGCAAAGAGCAAGTTTGGTCACCTCTGGCCCTTCTCTCTAACAAACGCTTCCTCTATAAAAAAAATAAAATAAATAATAATAACCCTTTCACCACCAGTGTAATCATTATTATTCATAAATGATGTTAATAGTGTTATCAGTTTTTTCCTATTACTGAATTTTAGTTTGACAGATGATTATATATATGGTTATGGACATCTCCAATAATTAATGTAGAAATAAGAAAAGGACTTATAATTGTGGGCATCAACAATGAATATTGTAATCATAGAGATGAGAAAAGGAATTATCTTAATTTCAAATTCTGAAAGGGGAAATTTCATGTTTTGCATCCAGATGGAACAATATTACAAGCTATTTAGATTTAAACCACCAACTGAGAAAGCACTCTCTATAGAAATTCTTTCCAGAGAAGCCTATATATAATGATCAATTGTAGAGGGCAAGACATCCAAGCACAAACCAACAGCTGAATTTGCCGACAGTGAAGTTTCAAGCATCTCTTGAATAAGACAATTAAGTTACGTTAAACTTGAACATGTAGGCATTCCTCAGCACAAAAACAGTAAATAAAAATGTAAAAGTACAGTAGTCTATAACTAGTTTCTTCATGTATAGAGAACATATACTTTATTTGTTGCTAGGGTTCTCCTTCCAAGTTTTTCTCTGAAAAATGAAAATCTTTGCTGGATCGAGAAAATTAAGGTAAATGATACAGAAACGGATAGAAGAAAGATATTTTAAAACTTATTGCACTGTCAAACTTTTGTCAGGCAATAAAAATAAAGATTTGATTTTCATTTGTTTTCTACTAGTTTTCTTTTTCAATATTGAAATAATTGAAATTTTTTACTTTTTCCATGGAGAATTAAGTCAAGTAACTGATGGTCGATGAATGATAGGTACGTAAACAGAAATCATTCTACATATATTACAATTAATTATACTTGATAAAACTCTCTCTGTATATATATATATTAGATCTGGATCTCATTGGATCGGCCTCAACATCTATGACATCATTCCAGCCACCTTTTTGAGATAAAAAATAAATTGTAAATATCTAATCATTTAAGTAGTCATGAATTTAGGCATAATATATATTTGAATAGAGGGATTAAAATCATTCAACATGATCTGTTAGTCTTCAATAGTTTTATTTTTACTTACTTGGAAATCAAATACGATCAAAGGATTAATTATTATTATTTTAAAAAATAGAGGGATTAAATATTTGTTTCTGAAAGCTTTCGGACTATATCGGAATTTACTCCAATAACTTAGCACTTGACTCTCAACGGATTCATCAATTCATGCACTGTGATTTAAACACTAACTACTTCATGAGCCAGTACACCAAGTTATCCAACTTTGCACACTTGGTATCTCAAGCCACTATGAAGCATTATTCAACTAATGAAAAAAAAAAGAAGAAGAATTATTCAACTAATAAACCACTAAAAAAATGAATAGAGTGATTTCATGAGATATAGCTGATTACTAAATTATAATCACTTTTCTAATCCTTTCATCAATAATAATAATAAAAAAAGTAAGCAATTTTGATGGAAAACAATAGAATAACTATGATCACATCGGCAACAATTATCAATCCTTAAAAGCCAAATCAACAAACATATATATATCAATTGTTTCTTCTCTGTCTTTTGGAGCATTCCAGATTAACATGACACTCTCTTTCACTATTTATCTCAAATATATTACCACAATAATCACACTTGAAAGAATATTTGGGATGCTTTTGTTGATTATGGGATCTAATGTCCTCAAGACTTACAAACCCTCTATGCGTCTGACACTCAGAATGAACACAAAAAAATTTATTCTCTTGTTCCATTTTATGTCAATAGAAAAGGAAATAAAAGGTACCATTTATCAAATATGCTTATCGATTTATATATATTATGTTTTTCATGCAATTTAAATTAAGGGTGGTCATGCAAATGCAACTTTCGCATCATGCAACATTTTTTTTATGCATTTGGGTCATGCAAATATTTTGGTAAACTACATTTGCTTGCCTATGAATATAGGTTTGTATTAACAATTACCTTCCCAAACAATGATTTCAATAAATCAACCCTCCAAAGTTTCCAAGAGCTTCCATTAATCCTTTCTGTTCGCTTATTAGAAAGAGAGAGAGATATCTTTGACAATTAATGGGCCAGTGTTCCATGAGATAACAGAACTCATTTTTTTGTAAATTAATTTTTGAAAAATTAACTTCATGTGTTGGATTTTCACAGTACGTAGAATTGCTTCGCGTATAAAGCCTAAAGACTTTTTTAGCCAGCACAAGGCCTAGAACTTTTAGCCCATACAAGAACCATTTTGTCCTGCTTAAGTTTGCACTACAAGTCAACCGAAAGAAACTGCATAGTAGATTCAACGCCAAGAACAAAATTCACGTGCAAAAATTATAAGATTAAGTTCTTTTCTCGATTACAACATTGCAAGGAGTACGCCCTTGGACTATACCAGATTTATCTGGCTAAGATTTATTTTTTAACTCCTTTCCCGCTCCAACCATCACAAATCATAATGCAAAGTTAAAAGCTTAAAAAAACACATTACGCATCTCACCTAACATCATTTTCCTCGATACCATCTTCTAAAGAGACACCAACTGCCTTAACCTCATCAGGTCCAACATGATTTGCCTTCAGCGAAGCAAATATTTCAACAGCAGCATGTAAACTGGGAGGCCAGATGATTCGTATGACAGCTTGGGTATAATACTATTCGGTGTGACGTCATCAACAATATCATTTGTAGATTGTAAAATAATACCAATTAATCAAACTGAGACAACAAGATCATTTGTAGACTGTAAAACAATACTAACTAATTAAACTGAGACGACAATCTAATTAAAAACCAACTATTTCTTAGGTTGAAGAAGTCAGTTTACCTAAAATGAAAAGCTTTTGTCTTGTGAAAACTCAACTAGAAGAACATGTATTGATAATAGCACACCATTGTTTGAACCTGGTTGCAAAGGCGACCTAATGTAAGGCTAAGGCTCATAAAAAGATCTTGGATACTCTTTCTCTCTACACATATTAATGGTGAGAGAATATAATCCCCAACTTCCAAGGTAGCTGAAATTATACGCATTCCTTTCTAGTGGAGAACATTTGGGAGGTTACTCATGACCTCCCTTGTGTCTACAATGACCTGAAAATGAAGCAATTCTTGAATAATATAAAAAAACACAGTTTATCCTGAAAGCTCAACGCACTCTCACATACCTGCATTTCTTTCTCCATTTCCTTTCTTCCACCAGCTGTTCTAGTTGAGTTTTGAGAGAACTTGAAACTAGAGGTTTTCTGAAACATTCAAATTACGCAATGTAGTTGATACTGCTTGGGAATCATTCTCGTAACTTCATTTCCTTTCATTTGCCAAATCACAAATGACCCATCACTCGAAACTTCACTCATGATTAGGCCTTACCAAAGAATCAAGCCCTTTAGTCTAGCTATGAAGAATCCTGTTGTCGGGCCCCAAAATTTTACCCATTTTCTTTTATTTTAGTTTATTTATTTATTTTTTATTATTATCATTATTTAGATTCATATCTGCTTTACATAAAATCAAAACAAAAAAACAACAAAAATATTTTCTTTCATTTCATTAAAAAAAAAAAATACAAAAACAAAAAAATACAAAAAAAAAAAAAAACAGAGATGGAGGGACAATTCCCCTCCATTTCCTTTACAATTTTCCAGCATCTCCTAACTATCCTAGACTAATTCCCCAATCTAGTTTGCTACCCAAGTCAGCAGCACTTTGCTGTAATTCTGCAAAATCCAGCACTTTCCTCTCACCAAGTCAACAACCTCAGCATCCATTACAGCCCACAACCTTCTACTTGCAGCCACCCTCCACTGCTGCAAGCGGCACTGCAATTCCAACCACCAACAACCACCGAATTACCCCTGGATAAGCCCCTTCACCCCAAGCCATCCTGCAATCTCCTGGACAATATCCTGCCACTTTAACCACGGACCAGTTCCAGCTTGCCATCCCTGCTACACGGCAAGCCTATAGCCTCCAGTAGCCCACAATCTCCACTGGCAGCCTCCCCTACAGCCACCCTACTGCTGTAACTCCTGCACAGCCACCCTACACAGCCCTCAACGACAGTCCCATCAGCCCTCACTCCATATCCTGCAATAAAATCCCACACCATCATGGCGGAGAACCAAGCATTCATTCATAGACAATATATATAAAAAAAAACAAGAAACACAAACAAAGAGGGGGATTCACTCCGAAAAATTAAGAAGAGATAGGCAGTCCAAAAAATTCAAGAAAATCAATCAAAAAGAAAAAAAGAAAAAAACTGACAGTAAGGAGAAAAAAAAATTGGAAAAAAGAGAATGAGAGAGATTGAATTTGCCTGTGGAAGTAACAATCCACATTCATCCTCATCTCAATTCTCCTAGGTAATTTCCCTCATCTTAATTTTTCCTTTATATTTCAATTTTTGACTGTCAATTTAAGCTTTATTATGGAATTTGGGAGTCTTAGTTTTGGATTGAAGTTTGTATAGGAAAGTTAGATTAAGTCTCATTGAAGTCAATTGGAGTTTCAATTAAAACTTAGGGTTCTGATATTTTTCAAAAAAATCAATTTGGGGTTTTTCGATTTAGAGGAAATTACGAGATTTAGGAGTAAGAAGGAAGGATAAAACCACAGAGGAACGAACCAAGAAGCTTTGGTTCGTTCCTCATGAACAGATCCAAAAAAAGAAGAAGAGAGTTTCGGCCAAGGGAGAGGAAGGAGAAGAAGAAGAAGAAGAAGAAGAAGAAGAAGGGAGGGGGAAGAAAAGAAAAGAAGAAAAGGAAAGAAAAGAAAGGGGAGAGGAAGAAAAGGAGGGACGAACCAGTGAGGCTAGATGCCGAGAGAAGGGAAGAAGAAGAAGCAGAAGAAGAAAGAAAAACAAAGAAAAAGGAAAACAGAGAAAACGGGAAAGAGAGAGAGAGAGAGAGGAAAAATAAAAAATGGGTTTTTGATCCAAAAATTTTGAAAATATGATTTGGGCTATGTTTTTGGGTTAAGGTTTTTTCAGAAGTGAAACCACTTGTGGTAGGGCTGGACTGGTTTCAGTCCAGCCAGCCCTAAATTTCTCTTTTGGGCTGGACTGGAGAGTCCAGCCCGAATCCTTTAAAAAAAAAAAGAAAAGAAAAGCAAAGCGTAGAAAAAAAATGTGTCTTCATTTTTATGCATGTTGTTATTTCATATTTAATTTAGATATTGAATTGTTTTTAATTATTTTAATTAATATACTTTTAATCTTGAGTTTATTTTATGCATGTTTGTTAGTTTATGTTAACTTATAATTTAATATTTTAATTATCCGTAATTATTTTAATTAATGTAATTTTATTTTTAATTTATTTTATGGATGCCTCTAATTTAAATTTCAGTATTTAAATTTTCTTTCATTTGTTTAATAGATGTAGCTTTAATTTATTTCTTTAGTAATTAGGTTCGGTAAGTAATAGGTGGAGGATTGTCAAGTCTCCAATGTCTTTAGCAACCGATGACGATCTTAAAAAAAAAAAAAAAAAAAGAGACAAAGAAAAAAAGGAAGAAAAAAAATCATAAAATGTTAACTTAGAATTTAATATTTTAATTGTCTGTAATTATTTTAATTAATGTAATTTCATTTTCAATTTATTTTATGCATGCCTCTAATTTAAACTTCGGTATTTAAATTTTCTTTTATTTATTTAATTGATGTAGCTTTAATTAATTTATTTAGTAATTAGGCTCGGTAAGTAATAGGTGGAGGATTGTCAAGTCTCCAATGTCTTTAGGGACCGATGACGATCTTAAAATAAAAGAGAGAGAGAGAGAGAGAGAGAGAGGGAGAGACAAAGAAAAAAAAAGAAGAAAAAAAATCATAAAACTTTTAACAAAGTCTCTTATCCGATAGGGACTATTGTTAGTCAAAACAATTATTTTTAATAAACAAGATGTTCTCCGACGTATTTATTTTGTCAAGACTCAAAAAGTGAAATTAATGTTTGAACCGACGTGTCTTCCAACGAAGGAATCCAACGATCGTTTCAATACGATATCACGCTCAAAGATAAAAAACTTAATTTGATTTGAAAAATTGAAGTTTCAAATCGAAAAATAATTTGAAAAAAATAAAATATTTTAGGAGATGAATTTAAGGCTAAACTAGATGTGGTGCCTTTTTTAATAAAAGACATGCTTGGGTAATTAAATAAATTTCTAAAAACGTAACCAACTCCTTATACTAAAATATTTGAACCAATACTCGTTTTAGGTTTCTAGTTCTTTCAATACTTAGATGACGACTTCAAACTTGTAAATAATTCTATAAATAAAACTAATAAAATCTTTAAAACTAGATTTTTGTTTTGAAAGTCCCATCCAACATCGGGTATCGACACCTGTGAAACAACTCTCTCACTCCTCAACCCAAAAGATCCAATCACTATCTTAAAACCTCCCAAGCATTTGCCAATTCCTTCACTTTTTGCCTCACCTCTCCTTCTTTTTCCTCTTTTAACGAGAACTGAATCCAATCCCTCATTTTGCTCATGACCCTCGTACATTTATCCATTTGGTAAAGCTGTCGCAACAACTCGTAAGCATTCCTCTTATCTTTTTTCCTTGACTCTTCCAAAATCCTCTTGTACAATGACAACACCGATTGCCCCCATGGAAACCACCTGTGAATCGAAAAATACACTTGTAATCCTTTATCCAAGCCTAAAATCACAGCCATAAATGCCACATTATAGAAAGCAAAATCATATTCATAGTATAAACAACCATTGTAATTTTATTAGTGGACAAAACTTCATTCCCTCGCAGCACAAGTAAATTGTTCCCAATTGCCTATAGCTGCCCAGCAGCAGACCTGACCATGACACGGATAAGTTGTAGACAGATCAGACTATGTTTACAATTACTTACTCTAGAATCTTTAAATCAGTATATATATTAAGTTTTTAGTTCCTTTAATATTAAATTACGACTCTAAACTTATAAATAATTTTATAAATAAAACTAATAAAATCTTTGAAACTAGATTTTTGTTTTGAAAGTCTCATTCGACGTCGCGACACCTATAAAACCTCTCCCACTCCTCTACTCAAAAGATCCAATCCCTCTTTTAAAACCCACAAACATTTGCCAATTCCTTCACTTTTTGCCTCACCTCTCCTTCTTTTCCCTCTGTTAACGGAAACTGAAACCAATCCATCATTTTGCTCATAACCCTCGTACACTTATCCATTTGGTCAAGCTCTCTCAACAACTCGTAAGCATTCCTCCTATCATTTTTCCTTGACTCCTCTAAAATCCTCTCGTGCAATGACATCACCAATTGCGCCCATGGTAACTACCTGGGAATCGAAAAATACACTTGCAATCCTCTGTCCAAGCACAAAATCACAGTCATAAGATGCCACATTATAGAAAGTAAAATCATATCCATGTTTAAACGACGACTGTAATTTTATTAGTGGACAAAACTTCATTCCCTCGTGGCACAACCAAATTGTTCCCAATTGCCTACAGCTGCCTAGTAGTAGACCATGACCACGACACGATCCACGACAATGATATAAAATGCCCAAGATATGATGCTGGTCTATAGATGAAGATTGGTGTCTTCTAAAAGATCGATTTTTGAGAGGCAAAGCGGGTGCAGTTGAAATCCTTCTCATCCAACGTAGAAATCAACAAATTAATCAAACCTTTTTTTGGCCCAACCAAACTGAACTTCACCAAACATTCTTTGATTATCAAGAAGTCTTGACAGTTTGTTCAAAAAAATCTTGAACTAATCAGTCCAGTGGTGGTCTATGGACCAACGACTTGTGATTGAACAGAATCACACTAAACTCCTCCTAACAACAAAGGAAAGAATCAAGAAGTTTTCGAATCTAGTCTAACGAAAGCAAACGATCAGGGCCGACCAATGATAAATCAAGAAGTTCTGTATGTATGTTTGTTTGTGTGAGAGAGAGAGAAGAAAGAGAGAGTATAAGGGTGAAGATAGAGGAAGATGGTTTGGTAAGATTGGGATAAAATGATGTTGTAGTGGTGATGGGTGGCTGACAGTCGACGTTGGGCTATGGTGGTCACGGGAGCAGTTGCAGCAAGGGTTTAGGTGAAGAGGGGAATGGTGAACGCTACTGAGAAGGAGGAGGCTCGATGAAATTGGGATAAAATAAATTTATATATCTTGATTTTATGGCTGTGATTGATAGGGTTTTTTAATTGGATGCTTAAGATCGAAACAAAGCAATATTCATTCAGACGGTTCTAAAACAATTAATTTGGATCGGATGGTTGAAAAAAAAGATTTTGTATAGTGATTTAGTAAAAAGCCAAGTAAAGGTGCAAGAGAAAAATACCGTTGAAAGAATAGTAAAAGAAAAATACCGTTGAAAAAAAAAAGAAACAATATATCTGAGTCTTCAGTAAAAGAAAAAAGAAGAGTGAAAATGACTTATATTCTAGAGTTTTTGTAATTGCTCCTTTAACATGCAAAAATAGCCATTGACTTTGTTAGTTCACATCATTATCCCTTTTATCATGACACGGAGGGTGGAGCTTTGTCTTGGTTCACTTGAAAGCTAATTAAAGAAACTAAAGGCGAGTCCCGAAAAAAAAATAATAATAATAAAATATATATATATATATATATATATATTCAAATGTTTACTAATATTTCATACTTAATTATTTAGTTTTTTTTAAAAATAAAGGTGTTAAAATTTGAACTCTTGACTATTTTATTATTAGAGGTGGTGAGATATGAATTTATGATTATTTCATAATCAAATTATGATATCATAATAAAAAATATCTCAATTCAAAAAATCAAACAATTAAAAAGGTTAAAAATGGTTTTATATTACTTTTAAATAAATTAATCTACTATTTCTGCTCTTAACTTATGTTGAATCCTGTAATTGATTGTATGGATGTTTAACAACATCATCACGGTATGAGTTAAAGTGTTGCTAAGATTATTTTACAATATTCTGGATGCACCCTTTGAATCTGGATCTTACAAACAGTCTAGCAAATGCGGATAATAAATTGAAACTATTAAATTTACTGTGGATTCATGTGTTATGAAGCAAAGGGATGAGAATTATGATAAATTTATGAAGTAATGGCTAAATTACGAAAAACCAAGACCAATTTTACACCATAACTTTAAAAATGGCTTATCTAGATGCATTTTTTTTTAAGGTAATGAATTAGGTATTCTTTTGATTTTTTTGCTACTTAAGTTGATTTTTGAATTATCATCTATAATTACGAAATAGTTAATTAAATGTAATGTAATAAGATAAATATTTAGGTAAATTTACTTACTACATTAAAGCAAGCAAATGCTTTTAATAGTCCATAGTTTGCAGACGTAAGCCTATAATAAGAACCTTGTATTAAAAACTTTTTTCAAAACAGCAGCATTTAACACCATCAGCTTTGGATTTCTTCTTCCCTCAAAATGCGTCATATTCCTATACAGCTTGGAAAACGAAAAAGACGAGTAACTTCATTAAATCAGCATTGACTTTTTGTACTGTATCCTAGAAATAATAATAATAATAAACAGTGAGAAGAATAGCAGTGCTATAACGGCATTCCGTGTCAAATTTGAGTTCCGTGAAATTTTTTCCCTTCTAAACTGAAAAACAAACAAGAAACAAAAGAAATAAGAAAAGAAAAATTAAGTCAGAGATAGCGTGCCAAGGGACCATTTTCTGAGCATTTTGTGTTAGAACATGACCCGCCGCAAGGCATTTAATTAACGGCTCCAGTTGTTGCACCGATTAACTCGCCATAGCCGTCGTTCTCCTTTTTCTTTTGGCATCGAGTTTCATCCCATGATCCTTGAGTGAACAGAGGGCTCATAGTTTGTTTTTACGGCCATCAACGAATCCGCATTTGAAAGTCTTCCGTGTTCATTAAATTAACGAGGAGAGTACATTTTAACCCTCGTCCTTCCTTCAGCAACGGCGTTCTGTTTTCTGAGTTCTGATCCGTCTCATCTCCTGAAGGTGACTCTTCTCAGCATTCCCTATCTCTTTAATTTACTTATTTCATTTTGGAAATTTCCAGTGCTTTCTTACAAATTCTGCAATTGCCAATACCTGCTTATTATTTCAGTTTTCCATCCTTTTCTTGGTTCTTTTTACTATTCCATTTCGATTGAATACCGAAATAAAGTTTGCTTAATTTCTCTCGTGATTAGATTTCACAATTGCATTTTTTGGCTGGCTATGCGTAGGTGTAGGACAACTAACTAATCTCTAATTTACTTTAACGTCAGAAAGGACTTAGGAACGAAAGAAAGCAAGCTGTATTTTTTAAATGAATTATTTCCAAAATTCATTTAATGTTAGAACTTGAGCTGAGTCCAATGACTTCAATTAGATTGAACAAAGTGGGGTTGGTTAAGTATTATATATATATCTATCTTTGATTCTAACAGAACCGCCCATTAAATTATTGAAGCCATGTGGCCGATACTCATAAAGTGATAATCCCCTATATGTCTCTCTCTCTCGGAACTTGGAAAGGACAAATTGGAGCTTTTACTATCTTTTAGCTTGGAAAATAAATTTAGTTTTTATATGCTTTCATTTGAATATGCTGTAGGCTGTAGCTGCACATGAAGTTTGTACTCTCTCTTATTAAAAAGTGACTACTATGGTTGAATGCATTTTTCATAGGAATGAATCCCTTTAAGATGAACAAGAATAATCTTAAAAAGCTCAAATCAAATAACTTATAAGAAGTTTTATTTTGCAAGACAAATGCTCTGCTTTTGATGTCTAAGAAATAATTGACTAAATTAATAATGGGCTCTGAAAATAATTGTTTTCTACTTAGCCTATGTGGACAATTAAGTCACGGTTTTGTTTTATAGTCATCCTTAGTATTTGGATAGAATATAGAAATTTCATGGTTGATTAGCTAATTTGGATGGAGTGGAAACAGTGTGTTTTGAGATATCACCTGCACTGCTGGTCGTGATATTAGTTTTGCCCGGCAACTAAAACTTATTTCCTAATTTGTTTATAAACTTGATCTATCCTTGCTCATCTTGCTTGCTATATTTTTATTTGGTATTGTTGCTGTTTATGGATTGACTTGGAGTTGGATGTGAATATACGTGAGACATGGTTAGTCAGTTATTTATTCATAAAATGAAAAGTTGTACATAATTCCAAAGTAGAATTGTGATGGTGGCAGTATTTGCTTGACTTTTGCTGATTTAATTTACAAGCATTGTTGTCTTTATCCCTCTCATGTCATTAGCAGCGTAATTACGTGGTTGCTTGTGTCAAATAATCTTCATATTTGATTTGTTTTTTGAAATTTCAGCAGCTGACAACAATCGTTCTTGTATTACCAACCCCCCCCCCCCCCGGGGAAAAGCAGAGCAGTTGATAATCAGTCATATAGAAACAATAACTAATATCATCATCTGTATCACATCCGTGTCACATCTCCTTGGATTAAGAATCAATGTCATAATGGTGTTCCTGCTAATCTTGTAGTTATTGCACGAGGAACGAAACACTGCAACCTGGAGTTCTAGTCATGGATCATGGAATTAATGAGTCTGAACCCAATCTGAGTGGATCGTTTGGTCAGACAAGCAGTGTAGGCTCTTCAGTTAGGAGACATTCTTTAAGTTTATCACGCAGCATATCCTTCCAGGTAGATGACGATATTGAAAGTGAAAATGTGTCAGAGGCAGGTGATATTGGTGACAGGGCTCTTCACAGCAAAAGGCATAGTGAAAGTGGCAAAATCAGGTTATCCGTTGACAACGGATTAGAAAATGGTATGGTGGTTCCCGTTTCAGAGGACAATTATTGGACTCATGATTCCACGGCTTTGAATACAAGATCCCCAGTGTCACCTTTGCCGGAAGAAATCATATCTCCTATCTCAACTGATGCAATGATCTGCTCCGAGGAAAAACAAGAAGTGAGAATTCATTTGATCATTTCCATCAATTTCATTATGACCGATAGGATTTGTTTAGTTTATTGCCTGATGGGGGTTTCTCTCTTTAATAGCTGTTTGTCATGTGACATAAGATCAAATTAGTGCTACTTGTCTATGTGTTTATCTGATAATTCATTTGTTTCTTGCTGCTATATCCAGGACAAAGAGAAAAAATTTGCGTTGCCACCATTACTCGAGTATACGTCCTGTCTTTTGTATCTTGCAGTTTTTGGAATTCTTGGGGTAATATGCATAGCCTTTTCTTTTTACTTCCTGAATCTTCAAAATGGCATTAGTAAAATGTAGCCTAACTTCAACAACTCTGTTTGTTAAAATTTTTCTGTTAAGTTGGATTCTGGTGCTTCTTCCCCTGTTTTCTTATATGTCACCCTTGTTGGCTTCATTCCCTGCTAGCATTCTAGTTCTAGAAACACTAACCCCCAAAAATATTAGAAGGCAAACAATCTTTTTTATGAAAGCTAATGAAATGACTTTAATAACTTCATTATTACCATCACTTATGGTTTTTAACTACTCTACATGACCACTTGAAGGGAGTAAAATTTGAAAATTGAAGTCACAGAGCATCAAAGAAATAGTTGTACAGTAAGCTAGATCAAGAAATACGTTCGCTTGACATAAGTTGTGTTGGAAACTGTTTCTCTTTAGTTTTCACTGTAAGGAGTGGGTCTCTTACTGTCTTTCTAGGAGGATGTTTAATCCTAGGAAGTGTTAAAATCTTTCTTTGTAAAATGATAAACCTATACAGTGACACTGGAAACTAGCTGGATGAAGGTTGTGTTGCGTCTAAGTACATAACTCTGGATAATCAAAAGCTTAAGCTGTTGGGTGAAAAAATGGAGGCGGTGAGATTAGAAGTCTTGATTATTTGATTAGTAAGACTGTGATACCTTCTCATCCGAAAGTTTAAACTGTTGGGTGAGATCACAAGATCTGATTTATATTATTTTTTAACATTTTCAACGGTTAATAGATAATGCCATCACCCTGAATCGGTTTTATCAGAAAAACGTTGCAGCAGCATCATAACCTATATAGCAATGTTGCATTTAGTTTCTGTTTCAAATTGATTATCATGTTGATCCCAATTTTTTCATTTGCCCTGTTTTTTGATGATTGAAGTATGCATTAAATATTGTATTTGATAGGAGTGCACAACCAAGAGAACATTTGGACTTAATTGGGGAGGGGGCACTTTAAGGGCGGCAGATTAATGTGAAAAAAATACTAATGTTTGACATGGCATAATTTTCAGGTTTTAACAAGGTACTTATTACAGAAACTCTTTGGCCCTGGTGTTGCTGGCGTGACAAGTGACAACCACCCGCTATACCTTGACCTACCTTCCAATATGGTCTCTATCTCTCTCTCAGTCACTTGCAGAAGCACACACATAGATTCCATCCTTTTTATGTTTAAAGTAGAGATCATTCCTATTCCTAAGCTATCTAGCTTGTTTCAAACAGGAAAGAAACATCTTTTGCATCTTTTGCCAAAAGAAATATCATGATAACTCTTTGGTGGCTTTTCATTCAAGTTACTTTTGGTTCCCTATAACTCGTACTTTGGTTTCATTAGGATTTATGAGGTTTTGATTTGGTTGGATCAAGAGTTCCTGAAATAAGATTAACATAAACATATCTTGTTGACTTTGTTATGGTATAACAATTCATTAGCCATTACTCATCATGGAACCTCATCAGGATGATTCTCATTCTAAACATGACTTATGGTATTCCCATACCAGATTTTTTTAATCTAAAAGATTCTCAATTTTGAATAGAAAAATGGAGTTGTTTCGGAAGTTATTAGTTTTTGGTAGATTCAATTGTCATGTAATTTGAACTTTAGGGTTTCTTTGGTGAAACTCCACTGTATTAGAATGATCCAGAATTAGAGCTTGTGCTTGTGGTAACTGGTACTCTATCTATCCCCAGCCATTCAATAAACTGAAATTATAGTGTAAGACTACCACAACTTGTCTCCTCCACCTTCAAGATGCATGAATTAATAAATCATAATGTTTCAATAACACTTGGAGGACTCTGCGCTTTCAACTTTGGAATACAAACAAAGTTCATTGACTTATTACTAATATGTGCGCTTCTAGGTTGGTTCGTTCTTGATGGGATGGTGGGGTGTTGTTTTCAAAGGAGATATATCCAGAGTGTCTGGTCATTTGGCCATTGGATTAACAACCGGTTACTTGGGAAGTCTCACAACTTTCAGCGGTTGGAATCAGAAAATGCTTGATCTCAGTGGTGATGGCCATTGGGTGTTTTCTTTTGTTGGATTTCTCATAGGTAATGTGGCACTTGCAGATCAATGTCATATGTTTGTAGGTTAAGTGGCACATGGAAACTTAACTATTGCTCGTGTATGTGTCTGTTCAAATTTTAATGGCAGAGAAGCCTTGCCTATGCCAGACCATCAGAACGTTAATGAGTAACATTCATTGTGTCTTTGCAGGGTTATTCCTTGCAGCCTACTCCATAAAATTCGGTGTTGGTACGGCCAAATGTTTCAAGTCATTTCTCCACAGGTCAAACAGAAGTGCAGAATTAGCCAGCTGGAGGTTGGACAGCCGCAATCAACATTTGGCAGTTACGGTGGTATTGCTGGTAATGCTATGCCTTTTATGGAGTTTGAGTGGAGCACTGCTAAAGAAGGAGTATAACCACGACAGCAGTGGGGCTCAGCTATGGCTGGGTTGCATAGTTGCACCTCTAGGGGTGTGGATCAGGTGGTTCTTAGCACGGCTCAATGGGCGTGGGTTAGGAAAGGCAGGTTCTCTGAAATGGGTTCCATTTGGAACTCTTATTGCCAATGTTTCTGCAGCGTGCATCATGGCAGCACTGTCTACTGTGAAGAAAGCGGTATGATTTTATTTCTCTCCCAACTGAACTCTGTTTCTGCTTCTGCTTGCATGTGCTATACCTTATAAGTCAATTTTGTTGATTATAGCTCTGGCTAAATCTATTTCTGCATTATTAAGGTCAATATTGAGTCCCAACTCTCAGGGCAGATCCGATTCACACACTGTTTATTGTGCTCTTTAACTTCTTACTCTTCCTTCATTGTTTTAACTGCTGTGATGCTACCATCCTTATTTTGCTCGAGTGAGTTTGAGGAAGAATACTTCGTTATGAATTGTGTGCATTTCACATAACCGTGTTATGGAATTTTGATGATATGAGATTTGGGTGCTGCAGGTGCATACCAAAACCTGTGATACCATTTCAACAGGCATACAGTTCGGATTATTGGGCTGTCTGAGTACTGTTTCCACTTTCATTGCTGAGTACAATGCGATGGAAGAAAGCCAGAAAAACTGGAGAGCTTATGTATATGCCCTAATGACAATAGTTGTCTCATTTGGCATGGGGATTCTGATATACTCTGTACCTGTCTGGACCAGGGGATACAAATAGCATGTCAGCTTATCTTAAAATCTCTCCTTTGATTTTACCGCATGTCGAGTTGACATGGTGCAAATTTGATTTGTGCATAAAGAAGATCACCACTTCCCACTTATTGTGTCTCGGCCTCTCAGCCCAAAGGGGAACCGCTCTACAACCTCCAAACAGGTGTCTTAAGTCGTAACCAAAGGCACAGCCTTTTCTTGTTGGACCGGAGTTTTTGTCGTTTGGCTGGGTTTCCATGAATTCAGTAGTGACTGAAAATTTTTTTTGACTGGTTAGTGTAACATTTCAACTAGGCACAAGAGAACATGCTAAAAAGCCTGCTGATCATCGAAGTTCCAGACAGTATTGAACGGATGATCGTGAAAATATTGTTAATGTAACTTCTAAATCTGGTCGCCAATGTGAATGACTAGGGCATTAGGTATGTACTTGAAACCATACCATTGTCCGCCTCTGACGGCCTGGAGGCCCCGTTCTGAGCATCACTGGGAACAAGAATTGTTATGGAGGACGTCAGTGTGAGCTACCATCCCACAAGCTAGATCAGGACGCGGGCAAGGTGGCTAGTAGTTTATTTTGAGAAGGTATATCAACTCATCCTCCCCCACCGCTGCTTCCTTGAGTTCATGCGCTTCAAGCCCTGACGCGTAACGACAGGCTCTTGAAGAGTTTGTCTACAACTCCGTGCAGATACTTCACATGCTCGTTGGTTTCCCCGCAACGAAAACATGAGCCGTAACAAAATTGCATTGCTATGTTTCTATTAATATTCTTGTATAAAAAGTGAACCGAATCCCTTCGCAGTATTAGGTGCATTCCTAATCCGTCATCAATGCATATTCCTTTTTTATTCAAATTAAAAAAAAATAAAAAATTACGAGTTTAAATGGATTATTGGTAAATTTTGCTTTCATTTTATTGCAATTTGATAATTTTAAATTCATAATAGTAAATCATGTAATTTAAATCTTAAAGTATTAAAAATTGGATAAATATAATCTAAATTGCTCAATTTTCGTTATGTGTAACGAGTTAATCTAGTTGATCATTACTTAAAATGTCAAAATGACATTGACATTGTTTTGACATTTCGTTGTTAATTATATATTTTTTTTTAATATTTCTAACTCTCTAATCTTGAACTTTTTTGAAAACAAAAAAATCTTATAAAATATTAAAAACATTTTATAAGTTATATGGAAAAACATTTTATAAATATTTTTAACCCTCCTAGTTTTGAACTTTTTTATATAAAATAATAAAAAAAATTTATTAAATTTTTTTTTATAATATTTATAAAATTTCTTAAATATGCTCATTTTAATTTATAAAATATTTTTTTAAGGTCTGAAATTATTTATTGTTAATTATGTTTTTTACAATAACATTTTATAATACAAATTCAAAATTAGGAGGTCAAAAATATTTTTTATATATAATTTATAAAATATTTATAATATTTTATAAAAAAAGTTAGAAAAAATCAAGATTATTAGGTTAAAAATATTTTTTAAATACATATTTTTTAAAAAAAACACAATTGATAAAGAAATACTAAAATGACGTTATTTTGATTTTTTAAGTAACGTTTAATCAAATTGACTCGTTATACATAATGAAAATTGATAAATTTGAATTATATTTTTTCAATCTCTAATATTTTATATTTTCAGATTACGTTATTTGACGAAATTACCAAATCACGATGGGGTTAAATTTACTATCAAACCAGTTTAAATTGACTCATTGCGAGGATGGTATTTTTATTTCACCCCAGTGGCCTTTGGATGTAAGCTATATCCACTGAATGACAGATGCAATTACAAATTTAACCTTGCGTTAATCTGCGTATCCCATTGCTCTCTCTCTCTCGTATACGGACTCTGGCACGATCCCATCTCTTTTATTTCATGTTATCAGAAGATGGATTCCTTAATGGGGCCAACGGTCCAACCTTCTAGAAGCCCACTTATAGCTTAACCATTTCACTAACCGAAGCAGTAAAGAAAAAGGGGGCTCGGTCAAAACAAAATATATACAATTTGTAGCTCAAAATGGGTATGATCATGAGCATAATTTGAGTAAATATCATTTGTGCAGACCAGTTAACTTTAGCAATTTGTTAAAATGGACTTTTAAGAGGGTAAGTGGGTAACTTACCGGTAGTTTTCTGGTCATTGGCACCTTTGTGTGCCCAACAACACCACCAACAACAGTAATAAATAACATGCCAACGAACAAGAGCAGGAACCCGTATTTTTCTTTTTAAAGAAAAAAACATGACCCTAATGGTTGAAAACAAAGATTCGTTTTACTTGCAGAATGATTGTCTGAGGAAAATTGAATAACCACAAAAGCTTCCCGGTATCATTAGCGTCCAGCAATCCACTGGTACTGATAACTGGATTTGGTGCTTTTTTCTGCAGAGAGTTGCAACATTGATTTTTTGATATATATATATATATATATATATATATATATATGACTCGACCTTTGAACGTTTATATAACCATCACTCCTCCAACGATGATAATAATACCGATCCCATTGGCAAATACTATGCATCCTGATGAAGTTCGTCGTCTCCAATCTGTTTAATAGCAATCGGTAAGTAATTAAATTGGCAATTCTAGCAAAAATCGGGTTAGAGGGTGGCCTAGGAAACGAAATTTTATTAGTGAATTACTGTAAATTGATGGTGTAGTTTGTGTGCATAAGGTCCACGAAAACTTTGACAGTAAGCTTCAAATTGATGTCTCATAGGTTTAGTAGGAAATTATTGTTCAATTCTCAAAGTGCCAATCCTAATAAGATCTCGGATAAGTAAAAAAAATGCAATTACTAGAAAATAACTGTCATTACTATGGCTATGGCAGGTACTATATTTTCTACGGTAAGAGGCAAATGTTGCAGACGTGTACTTCATTCCCAGATAAGACAAATTTCGATCTAGCATTGGCCTGATATCCATCATGCATTGTTAATGTCAGCGTAAAGATCTGTATACATGTGTGTAAATGTGAAAATAATAATAATAACAAGATCAATTCATTCTGTTATTTTTTCCAAAGTTCCATCTATATTTTGCATATAAAAAGTCAATAAAACGACTTAAACGCCCTCTATTTCAGTATAGTTTAACCTAACCAATCAATTATGATTTTTTTTCTATACAATTAATTTTAAATTTTAAAAATAAAATTTAATATCATAATTTTAATTCTCCATCTAGAAATTTTGGTTTTAACTTAAGAAAAAAATAGCACCAACTTCATCCTGCTTTTAGAATCATGTAGTTAAAGGGACTAGATTAGCTAAAATTGATAGTTTTTGATAAACTAGCAGAACCAATGAGCTTCTAACTCATTGGTAGTAATTTTTTCGTTTATATGCAAAAGGTCACGGGTTCAAAGTAACAGATTTTTCATTGCATAAATACTGTACTCCCTCCTTCCTATATTCAAGCATAAAACGCTGTAAATTATGAATATGCTCCTAAAATTTTACTTAAAAATCTGCGCATGATACAGAGAAATTAAGATGTCATGATGTCAATATGCCAATCCAAACATATATGAACACGAGTAGAAAACTAATAAAAGAACGTTGAACACATTGAGATAACAGCTAGTTAAAAGAAACTTTTTCTCGCAATAATTCAAGTAAAAAATCAAAGGATTATCTTTGCAGACACGAGTTCTCTTAATTTCTTTTTTTTTTTTTTTCCCATTCCCATGGTTAGGCGTTATAATGAGAGGTCGCTTGCTCATTTCTTGATCCTTTCGACTTTGGATGTGAGCGACGTTCAATATTAAATCTGGTGAATAATTCAAGTAATTTTATTAGTTTGTAATTAGAAATTTCAATTATATATACATAAAATAATAATAATAATAATAAACAAATTAGAAACAACAATTAAGACCCAATTAATTTTCAAAATGCCAATTAGAAATAGTTTTCAAGAAAAATTCTCCTTGAAAAAAAGAATCTAAAATCCTGACAAAATACGACAAGACAGCACTAATCGCATGTTATTCAATTGTCCAGAAAATTGCTAAGTGGCGCGGGGACGAAAAGGATTAAAAGAGTGGCCAAAGCAAGGGCGGGGGCAAGGAATCATGATCCATTTAATATACACCATTAGATCATAATTTAAATAATTAACGTTCATCTTTGCACACCCATACATTCTTGTACAAGAAATTAATGAACAAAATCCTTGCACGAGAAATCTCCTAATGGAAGACATTCCAGAGGGTTCAAAAACTTGCAATTGAATGGGGAGATAATTGGTTTGATATGCCATTGAATGGAGCTGGTTGTTTCAGTATGATCGAAGGGAGAGATGGAAGGACACGAGGATTGATTTCAACAAATGTAAGTTATTTCACATGCACCCTTATAGAAATAAGGAAGTTGAATAACATCAAATTCGAACAAGTTAAATATTATTTTGAAGCAAATGCAAAATGAAATGCAGGTCAACAGAGAATCCAAGGGAGATATATTCTTAAATACCTTCGGCCTTCGTTCTTTGGAAAGACACGAAGACCGAATTTCTGAAATGAAAACTAACCTCCTGGCAAGTTGTATGAACTGCGTGCAGCTAAAATGGGGGAGCGAGGGCTTAACCAACAAAAGAAAAGAAAACAAATAAAAAGAAGTGCGGTAGCAATAGTCCCACTCCCATACCGAGACTGAGGTAAGCGTTACCAGGCCACATTGTGACTGTCATTAGTATCGATTTTCAAATCAAGAACAGAGTCACACATCTGATTTCATTTGAACGAGAGTGAAAAGATGTTCCACTATTTAAGCAGAAATCACAGTCGCCGGCAGGACATACTACACCTTCCGTCGCAAATTAAAATGCATTTCCAGGACATACTACATTTTTCTTCCTAAATTGTTCATGTAAATTAAAAAACAGCCAATCCCAATTTTGCCAGGCAATTTCAGCTATTGCCCCTTCATTATTCACTGGGTAGACTGAAGATCTTGCAACAACTAGGCATCGCTGAGTGCAAGTGTCTATAGCAGTTTCAGAAATATTTTCACACCGTTGCTTGACAACTTGGCATTCACATGCCCTGTGTCTAAAGCAGGTGAGAAATTGTTAGATAGACTTAGTCTACCACATCACCCATAGAATAGGGCCAACAAAAACTAAGACATGTGGATAAAATATAACAGTTCCCACCTGATGATGTATGCATTGCACATGATTTTGTCTCAGTGTCTTCTTTTTATTGGCTCAGTCTAATGAGTGATGTGGTAGACTAATTCAACTTAATCATTTCTCGGGCAAAAGGATTAGGAATTCATGACTGGTTTCGCTTCAGTCAGTTGTTGCATAAGTTCAATGCAAGAACCGTAAGGGCCAAACCAATCATGACAATTGACAACCAATCCTTTAGAAGAAGATTTGGTAGACGATGGAAAACCGTCTACACAAAATGATATAATCATGTACGAAGGATGGTAGACTCCAAAAGACACAATTATTGCTTCATATTTAGAAACTCTAAAATATCACATTGACTTCTTACAAATTGTTAACATAAAGCTCATGCAACAATAACTATAACATTCAAGAACTATGAACAAGCAAAGATCTTCTTAGAAGTTCTATTGACACAAATTACATTACATTTCCAACTGCAAATGAACTAGAGGTACCTCAACACTTTAGCCACAGCATGAACCACAGGCAGGCAAGGAACCTGGAAGTTAAGGATATCAAAAATTGTGTTTAGCAAAAGGTTGAAAAGCAAACACTTGAATTTCCAAACATAAATAAAATAAGCAAAATAAACTTACTATGGTCAATCCCTCTAACATTGTCCAGTCCCCGGGGTGGATGACGTGGGCCACCCCCATATGGTCCACTCCCAGGACCTCCTGGGCCACCATCCCATTTCTTGCTAGAACCAGATCCTTTTCTGTAAGTATCAGTCTTTTCCATCTAAGACAAAAAGATTTAAGAAGATTAGTCTCTAGAGCTGGAAGAGAAGTGCCAAAATAGACATATTATGACAAAGCAACATGGGAAAATAACTATATTACCGAGAACATAGTAGAAAAGAACACGGCTATGAAATTTACAATAGCCCAGAAAAAATCAGTGATTGTTCTCAATCGCCATATTGATCGCTTGGATTTCACGACACCTGACAACAAGGAAACAAAAATATCATTGTTAATCATTCATGACCATAATAATCGAGGAGGAGGAAAAGGTCCCATTCGATTTTCAGTCCTCATCATGTTTGTTTACCCCTTAAAATTCACGCCAAAATGAAGAAATAAATATATTGCCCCCATCAACTATGCAGTTAGTCACTATTTCACTCAATGATGCCACCCAATTGCATTACAAGCCACAGGGATATAGTGCATTTTACAAGCAATTAATTTCATAATCCAATTTTCACAAATGATAAAGCAGCATGTAACATTTAAGCCAAACAACAACATACACGATGCATGAGGAGTAAATTAAGAACAAGCATAGGACACCATCAACTTTCAAACGAGATGATATGTGGTAAAAGAAGAACAGCAGCATCATAACAAATAACAGAAAGACAGAAAAATGTTGTCTGCTATGGTTTCCAGCACAAGAGAAAACTAGAAACATTCCCTAGAAGAATGAATCTAAATGTGTAGTGATCAAGAAATAATAATGTCAGCACACAGGTTGCGGGTGCAAGAGAAAACACCATCGGCATCATCTTCGTTAAGTTTAATGCCCCATCAATTTCATCGAGACATGTATTATCTTCCACCTTAAAATGGTTTGTAATCCCGCTTAACTCGATTAAAGGTGCAAACGCATCAGATGATGGCATGATCTTCTAACACTTATCAAGCTCCTGGGTCATTAATGACATTAACAACACAGAACAGATAATCTAATTAAAGAATATCGACGCATACTTTATGGTAACTTTTTATGCATATTCATTTTAGGCACAGTTAATCCTTCAACAAATCAATCTAAGCGTTGACTTCAAAAATTCAACCTATGAAAACCCTAATTCCCAAAACTGAATCAAGCAAACAAGAATCACAAAGCAGAACTCAGAACTCCGCGATCCATATACATAGATTCACAGTAGAGAAAAAGCTAGATAAATTTCTCCCAAATGAAACCAGATATTAACAAATATAGAGGAGAAAGAGAGTGCCCGACCTCGTTCGACGTAAGCCATGGGTGAGAGCTGATTTCAAGGTCTCTTCTTCTACAGCTTTCTTCGATAAATTCTGAGTTTTATTTATTGAGAGCCTAGGTGTTGAATTTTTTACGCTTATATGTATAGGGATGGGGATTTTTGGCGTATTTAGAAAGGCGATTTTATTTATTACGCGTTCGGTCGATTTTGATTGCCCATAGCTGATTGGCTGGGTCATTGTTGACGTTTATGTGCACGTGGCATGGTATTATTGGTTTTGGTGAAATCAACAAGGTGCAGGTGCAAATACGGGGCTCCATATTTCCACGATGGAATATTAGAGTAGGTGTAGCAAGAGTAAAATAAATACGCCAGCTTCAAATATTTTTCAGATCTGAACTGGATGGGCTTGAGACTTGACCCTGTAATTTTGGGCCTAAGACAAGGTTGCCATGGCCCCAGCTCTGCCGATTTTTTTTTTTTTTTTTTTTTGGGCGAACAACGAAAGGAAGGAAAATCCTGTACTATAATATATTTTAATACAATATGATTTGTCAAGCGATCTATACCTATTTGGCACAAACATAAAACAAGGAAAACTAACTAGGAACAAAAGTAGAACTATTACCTATCTTATCAATATCAAGGAGATGCCTAGTCCCAAAAGCAGAAGAATTCTAAATTTACAGATAGCATCACGAGAAGGGTCAAATTGTGCCATGAAATCACCACATTGGTTACTCTCTTAAAAAAGTGTAAAAGTTTAACACGGCAACCAGAAATAAGAGCCCAAATCTTCTGGATATTGGAAGCAAGGCGAAATGATAGTATTTATGTTTTGCAAGGCTCGATTGTTGTTGAAGCTTGTAGCACTTAATCATATTTACGAAGAAGATGGATGATTATTTATCAAATTCAAAGCCAAAATGAAGACTGTTATTTTGTTGGCTGTGAACCGGTCAAGGTCTAGTAATTACAAAGGTGGTGGTAAATGTGTACGCATGGTTGTGGTAAAAATGATTTTTTTTTTTTAAAGGCAAAGACTGTATTTGTTTCAAGAAAAATAAGTTTCAAGAAATTTCTTTTTTTCATTTTCTCCTATTTTTTTGATGTTTATTTCATGTTTAAAAAAAAAATCAACGAAATTTGATTTTTAGCCAATGAAAACTAATAAATTATTATTCGGAAAGTGACTTTCGAGCTAAAAATAAAAAACATTTTCTCTCTCTCACGAATTATCTTGCTCTTACGTTACTCACCTCTCTCTCTCGATATATTTTAATAATTTTTTATTTAAAATATATTAAATTAATTTTTAATTATTACTTATCAATAATTATTAATTATTTTTTTCTATATCTACTAACATTTGATTTTTTGATTTATAAATACATTAAATATTCTTAAATTTTATTTTTATAATAAATATTTCAATAATTTATCTCTCTCTCCTTAAAATTTATTTTTACCATTATCCTAAATACCACATAAACTATACTTAAATGATTGAAAATGATTATTGCAAGGTCGCATACGAGTTGTGAAGAAATTTGAAACTAATTAATTTATTAATAAATATATTATTTTTTCAATACTATTCATTTGCAACTAAATCAATAATTTGTGACTAATTTTAATCCGTTGTAAAATTTTATTAGTAATTATAATTAATAATTAGTTACAAATTATTATAACATTAATGATAACTAATAATTTGTAAAACTATTTTTTAGACTAAATTATCAATTCAAATTTCAAAAAAAAAATTAATTGAGTTACCAAAATAACAAGGTTGGGATTACTTAGAAAGTTTTTTTACTAAATGTCAATATTGACTTGATTTTTTCGATATAAAAATTATTTGGATGATCGATATCTTTCAAAAAGTATAATCAACTATTTATCGTAAAATCTCTAAATCGTTGTCCATTTTAGGTTTTTGGTTCCTTGAATATATTAGATGACGATTCCGAAATCGATAATAACTCGCATTCTCAAAATAAATCATAAATAATTCAAATAAAATTTTTTGATAATTTTTGAGATTCTCATCGAGTGTCGGAGCGATAATATGCATTGCTAGGAATAGATAAAAACAATATCTTAAATTTTTATTAGAGAAAGAAAATGTATGAATCAATTGCATGATCTCACAAAAAAAAAAAAAATTAAATCATAAAAAAAATATAAAAGAAAGAATTAAAAACTAAAAACTTTAGAGAGAAAAAAACAAAGAAATTGGGCCTGATGCTTCCAGTCTCGGTTGTTACGTGCCTATGCCAAACTTGAGAGGCCAAAAGCTCCTGATTTCTTTTCGTTCTATTTTTTGTTTTTTTGTCTGTTTATAAAAATAACGAACGAAACACTCTCTCTCTCTCTCTCTCTCTCTCTCTCTCTCTCTCTCTATATATATATATATATATATATAAATGGCGTGTGGCTTATCGCATTCTTTCATGAACAGAATTTGATGAATGTCATCCATGGATTGAGCTGATAAAATAAATGTTAATATTTTTAATTTTACTAAACAATATATCGTATTTCAATAAACTATTATTTTCAGTTATTTGTTATTATCACTAACATTAAACGAATATTAATAAGGATGGTTTTTGTGCATATATTCATGTGTAATGGAAACCAACACGGAAAGTCTACTTCGTGAATGATGGTGCTTATGTAAAGTTTGATTATTATTATTCTATAAACGAAAATGACACCTTATGGCTAAACGATACAGGTCGCTGTCAATCTTGAGCCACTGTGTTGACCTTTTCTACTTGGGATAAATGATAACGGCAGTCATTAATGTTGAGCCACTGCTTTACCTTTTCAGCTTATAGATAGTGGTGACTGCTGACGATCTTGAACTTCAGCTTCAGCTTTTGCCATTGCTTACCTCTTCAGCAACTTATGACTAAATGGACCGACCATTCCATTGTATTAACAGCAAAAGTGATTTACATTTGTTGCTAAAACCAAATGATGGGTTTTTCTCTTATTAAAATCTTGTATTTCAAATTCTTTTGATTTTTTTTTTCAAATCATTTGTTATAATGTTATCAATTAATAATGATATATGATGTTATAAAATAAAAAATCTCAAAAAATAAAATAAATTAACAAAATTCAAAGAATACACAGTTCAAATGTAGAGAAACTCTTGTTCTACTTGACCTTTTGAGTTTTGACGGATTAATATGTGCCAAAACCAATGTTGTGCTAATTATTTTCAATTTTGATACTCTTATATTTTTTATGTAAATACATTGGCCTGCTGCCTACTATTTTTCGATTTGTTTCTTAGACTCTTTCCCTCATCACAGAGAGTATGGTCCTTTCTGTAAGATGGTGATGTCATAAAAGTTCTCCAGCCATCCATAAAATATTTGTTTGAAACTATTTTGGGAAAGTATAGTGTTCAAAATACATTTTGCAACATTACTGCTTTTGGAAATAAAGGTGCCCTTCAAATATTTGCATTGTCTGCTTGTAAGAATTTCAATTTCCTGCCTTGAACTCTTAACATTCCATTTGCAGTAGGATTTATCAAGATGGCTGACACTAACTGATAGGAGAATCGTATTTTTTTTCTTCTTTCCCACTGAAAAGAAAATTGAATCTACTTTGAGGGTTGATGAGGGTATAATGATTCATTGCGTAAATTTCACTCCCAATTCTGATCGGACAGTTTTGATGCTCATTTATTTAGTTTTAGCAACAAATGTAAATCAGTTTTGTTATAAGTATAATGGAATGGTCGATCCATTTAATCATCAGTAGTTGAAGAGGTAAGCAGTGGCAAAAGCTGATGCTGAAGTTCAAGATCGACAACAGTTGCATCGGCAACAATCGCCACTATCTACAAGCTGAAAAGGTAAAGCAGTGGCTCAACATTAACAGCCACCTCTATAATTTATCCCAAGTAGAAAAGGTAAACACAATGGCTTAAGATTGGCAGCCACCCCTATAGTTTAGCCATAAGATGTCATTTTCGTTTATGGAATAATAATAATCAAACTTTACATGAACACTATCATTAATGAAGTAGACTTTCCATGTTGGTTTCCATTAAACATTCTTTCATGAACAGAGTTCGGTGAATGTCAGTGATGGATCGAACTATTGAAATAAATATTAATGTTTTTAATTTTATTAAATAATATATTATATTTTAGTAAGGTGTTATTTTCAATTATTTGTTCCTATCATTAACATTAAACGAATATTACTTTATATATGTAAAAAAACATTTCGTTTTAGCAACAAATTAATAACCGAATTAGTGATAAAAACTAAATCTTTTTACAACAAATACATATATGATCGTTAAATAACGATGTATTCGAGTGATGGATTTGTAAAAAAATTTAACGAATACGATTTAGCAACGGATATCTCGTGGCTAGTTGACGACGAAAAAATAACTATTAGTAATGGTTTTGTGACACCTAACATATATTGAGAAGACGAATGTTTATTTCATTTTAGGATAAAAAAATTCATCACTAAGCTTTGCTATCAAAAATATATTATCATAAATCCGTATTCAAGGTTAAATAGCGATTCCAACCCTCATACATTAATGCTAAGGTTAGATGTTGGAAATACGGCCAGGTACCATGCATGTTTATTTTCTGTTGGTAAAGTACTAGCGATTCCCAGCCAATGTCCTCCTAAAAAAAAAAAAAAAAAACAACAATGGCAGCATTTATTTAATTTTGGGAAATGGAGTCAACATTTATTACTTCTTTTTTAACACCATACGCAACATTGATTACTCGTAACACCCAAATTTTTTGGAACACTTATACATAAGGAGCAGGTTAGTTTCCACAACATAGTAATTTCCGTCAAATGAAAGTAACGAGAGTACAAGCTCTAGCCAACGAGCAGGGCAAACTCCCGACCCAATTCATCCGCCCTGCCCATGAGCGGCCTGGGAACAGCGAAGTCATTGAGGGAGTCCAAGTGCCGGTAATCTCCCTATCACAGCCACATGACGTGCTTGTCAAGGAGGTCTCAAGGGCATCTAGTGAATGGGGGTTTTTCCTCTTCACAGATCATGGGATCTCATCATCGTTGATCCAACGCTTACAAGAGGTGGGTCAGCAGTTCTTTGGGCTGCCACAAGAGGAAAAGGAAAGTTACGCAAATGACCCATCAAGTGGGAAGTTTGAAGGATATGGTACAAAGATGACCAAAAACCAAGATGAAACGGTTGAGTGGATTGATTATTTTTTCCATATCATGTCTCCTCCTTCAAAGGCCAATTATGACATGTGGCCAAAAAACCCTCCTCCTTATAGGTACGTACCATCAGTATTTTCGTATCTTCCTCGTTCATTTTTTTTTTTTTTTTTTTTTGGCGAAGTTGAAAGATTCCAACAAAAATTCGTTAGATTAGATGAAAATGAAATCGATTTCCACGGAAAAAGAAAGATCGAAAAAGGGGAAAACCATATACAAATCTTTCTCTCGTTCAGTTTTTTTTTTTAGAAACTCTCATGCTTCATGTACTAGTATTAATTTGTTTGAAAATCACGGGATGCTCCTTTATTTTTAATTTTTGGTTATATTGATCCATCTGCATGATTTTGGTTTAAATAACCCTTCCACGAGATAAGTTGGCATTTGTTGATATCTCTATCTCCAATTCCATTAGTTTGACTAACTAACATTAATTGACCCAAAGAAAATGTCAAGATCATGACACGTATACGGTTATAATCAATTGAAATTAAAAATATGAAAATTAATGAGAACTAAATAAAAAATAATTTGGTTAATAGTAAAAATAGGAAATATTTTTTAAATAATAGTAAAAATATTAAATTAAAAAATGAAGAAGATAGCATTTTTTTTTAATTGAAGAGTTATTTTTCTTGAATTAATTAGTATATGAGATTCTAATATTATTTTGTTAAAATTTGAAAAAAAATGAAAAAATATATATTTTTTTTAAATTGAAGAATTATTTTTGTTAATTGGTATACGAGACTCTAATATTATTTTGTTAAAATTTTGAATGATTTCTTTTATTTACCTAATATATTTTTAATATTCAAACAATGTAAAAAATATTTTATATATTTAACGAAAATAATTTATATTGAATTTGAAATTTATGTATTTTTATTATTTAAAAAATTTTAAATTTATATCATTTTTATAAATAAAATTATTTATTTTTATTAAACTTAATAATTTTATGTATTTTTTATTATTTATAAACTTTATTTTTTTAATTTAATATAGTTTTATTATTTTAAAATTTTATTTTATTATTTTTATAATTAACCAAATTATTTTTTACTGCAATATTATTAATTTTAAGAATTTAATGTATTGTTTATTTTTATTCATCATAAACCGTACACATTTCATAATTTACACCCTTCATTTGGATGAACTAAGGACAGTTAGTCAAACTAATCATAAACTTATATATATAATAGAGTTAGACGGAAAGATCAAAAAGTACTTATTCGTATTAATGATCTACCTTTAAATTTTGAAAAATAAACTTATTTTTTATGTAGAATATCACGTAATTGTATAGCGGAAAAAAAAAAGTACAAATCTTTTCTTTCATTCAGTTTTTATTTTTTTTAAGAAGCTCTCGTAATTGAGTAAGAAGTAATTAAATTCGGATGCGTGATCTATCTTTAATTGAATTAAAATGTATAAAATTATTTTTGATATAGAATATCACGTAACTGTAAAACAAAAAAAAGAGAAGGAAAAAGCTACATGTAATTTATTTTGCTTTCTTAAGTTTTTCAATGAAGTGTTTACACATATTTGGACGATATCTACGAGGTTGATGAACACTGTACAACCTTGTTATAAACCTCATACCTCTATCTTGGACGTCATGCCATCACTGGTACGTAGGGAGAACTACGTACCTACTAGACTCTAGCTAAGGCGAGGGGGATCATGGCAGTGGGCGCCCAAATTTTTATAAACTTCACATTTTAATCTAATTCTGATTCTTTTTTCCATTATACTCTCAACTAGTTAAGACTTGTTTTATAGAAATACATATTTTGCATCCTCAGATTTTTTGTATTATCTTCATTGCTTTCTTTTTTATCCTAATTAATATTTCTTCATATTGGCCGTTCCATTATTCCAAAAATTCCTGTTCCACCCTGGGATCCATGCATCAAGGTTAACAAAATAAAACAAATGCACGTTTTTATCGGTTATAATTTCTAAGCATTAGCCGGAATAGGTTATTGATTTCCTATAACTGGCCGGTGCAATATTCCATGATTATCGGTTTAACACAGGGAAGTCACGGAGGAATACAATAAAGAAATGCTGAGAGTTACAGATGAGGTATTGAAGTTGCTATCCGAAGGGTTGGGTTTGGAAGAAAAGGCACTCAAGTCCTGTTTGGGAGGGGAAGAAATTGAACTAGAAATGAAAATCAATATGTATCCTCCATGCCCGCAACCTGAACTGGCCTTGGGAGTTGAACCTCATACAGACATGTCTGCCCTCACCATACTTGTCCCAAATGAAGTTCCAGGCCTCCAGGTACGCAAAGATGGCAACTGGATCGCTGTCAAATACCTACCAAATGCACTCTTTGTCAATATAGGGGACCAAATCGAGGTAATGAACATTCGATAGTTGTCTTGTCTAGATCCACAACCTACGTATGAGAAATAACTGATTCACATGTTTTAATGTAAATGGTTCACTTTGTGTCAATAAATAATATTGTTGCAGGTGCTAAGCAACGGGAAATACAAAGCTGTCCTCCACAGAAGTGTGGTGAACAAGGAACGAATGCGCATGTCATGGGCAGTGTTTATTGCACCTCCACATGATGTCTCGATTGGGCCACTTCCAGAGCTTGTGGATGATCAAAACCCAGCCAAATATTCAACCAAAACGTTTGCAGAGTACCGATACCGCAAATTTAATAAGCTCCCTCAGTAAATCGATGCTGTCATGTCCTAAGATTATGTGGCAAAAGGGGACATGTCCTAGGATTTTCCTATGCTTTGGCTGCTTATATTTCTAATTAAGTCTCAGAGCAGGCTCTCATTGATAGTGATCTTAAGTTCATTTCAAGTATTGGCTTTGTTTTTGCTGTGCTTGAGAAATTTTAATTTGTACTAGTTATTACTAGTTTTATTTATGATAGAAATTCTCACCAACGTCTTTTATGTGTTTTTTTATTAACTAATTTTCCCGACAGATGTTTCGCACATGCATCTTTTAATTACTGATTCATTTTACAAGTACAAAAAATATTTCAAATAGTTTTAAGCAAATAAATTCGTTTACTTACGGAATTAAGTTTTTATATATATATATATATATATGAAATTTGAATGATTTTATATAAAGGTTGATTCATTGTGATCAAATTATAGCATTTGATTAGGTTTTTTGCCCGTGCTATGCTTGTTGGGTTTGATAAAATATATAAAATCGTTTAGAGAAATCATTTCAGTTTGATAGTTTGTTTTATAGTGTGAATATATTAAAATATATGAAATCAAAAGTGAAAAAAATTATTTATAATTTTTTAATAAAAAAATTATATTTAACTATTTCTTATTTGTGTTTTTCATAATTTTCCTTTAGAAAAGAAGTTTTTCTTATTAATTCATGAATTATTAACTAAAAATAAAATTAAATAATTTTTTTAAAAAAAACTTTAGTATTTCATAAGATTGTGTTGAAAAACATAAATAACAATTATTGACAGACTTACATAGAATTGAATAAATATATATTTTTTTTAATATTGATGAGAATATTAGTTTTTTAAAAAATATGAATTTAATTTTTATATATTTATTTACAAAAGAATGAATAATATTAAAATAAAAAACTATATTAATTTGAATCATTGAGTGGTTAAGCCAAAACATTATTTTAATTATTTAATTTCAAAAATAAATAAATAAATAGTAAATGCTTAGTGTAAAAAAATAATATTATTATAATATGATCATAATATTAATAACATATGAATATATTAAAAAGAATGACAAATTAAAGTAATAAATTTTAAATAATAAAAATAATTAAAACAAAACACTAAAACAAAATCGAACCAAATTAAAATACAATTAAAGTTTAAAATTAAAAAAATATATATATAGAAAAATTGAGAACTAAAATGCTAAAAAAATGACATAAATAATAAAAAGAATAATGATTTTGTGAGTGTGTGAATAGTGTTTCAAATAATAAAATCATATTTTATTTTAGTTTTTTAATCTTTTTTTTTAAATTTAGCTTGAGCTTTAAGTCTTTTATATTTCTAATAAATGAATAGTATTATTTTCACTTTATAAATTGCTAATTCTCACGTCATCTACGTTTTTTTTTTTAATAATCTCACTGTAGTTTTTTTTTATCAAATATTGTTTATCGTGTTCTTTTAATTGTTAATTATCGTATAATTTATTATGTTGATGAGGTTTATTTAAAGGCTATTTTCTGTTTGTTTTTTGTCCTGTTCTTGATTGTTTTGGTAACGAAATTTCTCATTCATCAATATTTATATGCGCGCACGCGCGCGTAGTTCGAAGTACCGTTTCAATGTCAAAACTCTAGCTTGGAAGGTCCTCCTTTTCTGACATGGTGAAAATGCACACTTATATAATATAAAACAAGAAGTATACTTTTGAGTACCAGCCTACCAGGTACACGAAGATCATTATTAAGCAGGCATGTATATAATCTGGGAATAATAAGTCAGCTAAAAAGATTTCCAAATGGACATGAGTCAAATGACTACCAGAAATAAGATCTGTTCAAACATTAGCGGCACCAATAAACGTGCTGTCCGCTGTGATCCTTGACCTTGAGCGGTGATGGAACTTTTGGAGCAGGTACAGTCTCAGAAAGCATGGCAGACTCTCCCAGACTCAAAAGAGATGCTGCTTCCCAAAACAAAAATCCAAAACTAAGGAAAATAACATGAACTAGTACATAATAAAATTACTTAATTAATTTTTATGAATAAATTGAGCGTATGCATAAGCAAATAGAGAAAAACTGATGGAAAATAGGAATCATGCACAGAAGAGGGTTATAATACCATCAATTGGTTGACATTCTCCCACCTAAGATAAGAAGTACACTAGAAAAGAAAAGAAAAACTGTACAAACACCTGCACAAGATTAGAAGTAAAGTTGACCTTAGTTAAATAGTATATTAATCTTCTCTGGTCTGACATTCTTCTCACCACGGAGGGTGCCAAAAGCATCTCAATAATTTTCTTGAGAATGCACGTTCATTTTTTCAGGAAAGTTTTCTTTACAAAGCTGTCACTGACAAAATCAACATAAACAAAATAAATAACTGGAACTGATAAAGAAACTGGTGGTAAATCAAAAAGTTTCCAGCATCGGTTGTCATCTATAACATCAACTTATGAACTAGACAACCAAGAAGCTCCATATACAAAATTTGCAGAGCTGATTATGGGGGGCACTTTTCAATGTTACAAGGAATACTGTGGCACAACTAAGAACAACATCATTTCATGCTATTACAGAAGAAATATCCAATTCATTGTTTTTGGAGTAAGGAAGAGTAGCATCAAAACTCTAAATCAATGAAGTTCGTTCATGTGAGCATGACGTACAATGTTCCAGGTACAAATTGAAGACAAATGGTTACAATATGTCAGAGCGTTAATCTTCAGGGTATGAATGTAACTGGAGGTAAGTCATTCTAAACTATAAATTCCTATAAGATTCACCGAGTTCATCCCAAACATATTAAAAGCACAACAAGATAAGCAACAAAAAAATATCAGAAAATCCACCACCACATAAATATCCATCAGCCAACTGTACCTTGTGAACTTTGAGAAGGAAATGAGAACTACACAAACGAAGTCACCACAAAGAGCCCTGGGGCAAGAACATAAGACCTAAAGCAGCAGAGAATGAATAGAGAGAGGTAACTTGTAGATTCATAACTCAAACTTTCATCAGAAAATATGTAGCAGCAAAATTATAAGATACAGTTGAAGAATATAATACAAAGACTTACTACCCACTCGTTCAACTCCTTTTGAGCTCCGTGACAAGTATATAGAAGTATTTTCAATCTAGAGAGAATGCTATGAACAATTAAAACTCTAAATCACATATATTACGTGGTTTCCGTTCACTTATAATATCTATACATGAGCAATATATATCTCATCCATTTATCACTATCTTGGGCCTGAGATCTGCTGCGAGGAGATATAGGAGAAACGAGCATGTGAGCCATTTGTTGTGCTTGTAGCAAAAGTATTTGCTTCTGGATACAATATAATGTTACTCTGTTCATTTTCCTCTCCAATCATGGAAGCCTCGGTGAATCTACGTCCATAAAAGCGCAAGAAATTCAGAGATTCTAATTTTGGCTGACCTGAAGGGGTACCACCTTCCAGCATTCCAACAACACTAACCATATTAGGCCTCAATATTGGCTCCTCTTGAACGCAACACAAAGCAACAAGCACTAATCTCTCCACCTCTCCACTTGTCACTCGTCCCTCTAGCCTTGGGTCAGCAAGCTCCAAGTACCTTCCTTGCTCATGCATCTCCAATGCAAATAATGGGAAATAAACAAGTGCAGATCCAGATGACGAAGTCGATTGGCCACCACCACTGTTACTGTTATCCATGCTATGGCTTTGTGAACGGACTGAGCAATTTTTCCTTCCACTTACAAGTTCAAGCAGTACCATTCCAAAACTGTAAACATCAGTTTTTTCTGAGATTGCAGAATTAGTTAACCATTCTGGTGCTAGATAGCCACGGGTACCCCTCATTGTTGTAAATAAACTAGATTGCTCAGGGCTTAGAAGCTTTGAGAGGCCAAAATCAGATATCTTTGCCTGAAAACAATCATGCAAAAGAATGTTCTCTGGCTTGACATCACAATGAATGATTTTTTGTTCACACCCAGAGTGTAAGTATGCAAGCCCACGTGCAGTTCCAAGCGCTATATCAAACCTCTCTTGCCATTCCAAGACAGGTCCACTGCCAAAGAGGGTCCTGTCTAGTGAGCCACGATTCATATACTCATAAACTAAAAGGCGCTGTCTCCCATGGGCACAAAATCCTCTTAATTTCACCAGGTTGACATGGTGAATATTTCCGATTACTGCAATTTCAGTGCAAAAATCTTTTTTCCCTTGGACTCCTAAATTAATTATCCTCTTTACTGCTACAACTGATTTATCAGGCAGTGTACCCTTGTATACAGCACCGAACCCACCCATCCCTATCTTGGTCTTAAAATTATCAGTAGCCACCTCGAGCTCTTCGTAGTCAAACCGTTGAGGTAAGCCTGGGATGTAGAAGGCATCCAGATCTCCTGAAGAAAGCGAGTTTGCACGGCTTTGTTTTGTCTCTTCATTCTTGAAAAATCTCCGTTTTCTCCTCCAGAGGAAACTGAGAGCAACTATGATGAAGAATCCAGCTAAAGGTAACAGCACCAGAGCAATTACAGGAAAATCTCGTCTTTGATTTGTAGACCCATTGTTGGCAGTTGAATCATTTCCACCTAGAGTCTTAATGAAGCCGAAAAGATCGTCATCATCTGTAGTACTCGCTGTAATGGAACCTAATTCATTTTCAAGTGCATAGCAAGAGCCAGAAGAATTTTCATAAAAAATTCCCAAACAAGAACATTCAGCGGTGCAGACGTCTTGACAGACTGACAAATTTACCCCATATTTTATGGGCTCAGAGAAATCAATAGAGAAGTAATCCAAACCATAACCAAGCCTCAGATATGAAACATCAGATGAATTCAACTGAGTAACATTATTGGTTGAATTGCAAGCCAATGGCAAAGAATAACCATCACTTGGCAGGCAACCACTCAAATGTTGCGAACCTCTTAGGAAACCTTGGGGGCATGAACAAGTCGGGCCATTGGATGTAGTGCCAGTACACAGTCCAATTCTACCACATACAAATGGAATTTGACAAGCATCAATTGGCCCCACAAATTCCTGTTTCCTGTCAGCACCCAGAAAACTACTGATCATGAACTGGCCAGAAGCACCCAACAGGCCAATTCGGAAGCTGGATCGAGGCAAGGTCACCTGCGTCACAACTGCTGATCCATTACGACCAAAGAGAAAGAGACCCGTTCCATTAATTGCCATATATTCAATTATAGAATTAGAGTTCCTGGAAGCTAGGGCATCCATAGACAATTTCCAATATGTCTGCCCATACCATTGCAGCATGACATCTGAATCACTGACTGTAAGCATGTAATCACCGGTTGACAAGTCTTCATTTGATACTGCACTGGATAGCATTGCATCCTCAAGTAAGTGCTGTCCCATGACAATCGTGTCTGTTGGATGGTGGAAGCTCTCCCAAAGAGAATTATTAAATTGGTCGAGTAAAACAAGATTACCCATCTCAGTTAGCAGTAATGCATATACTGATGATCTTAGTGGTGGAGTTGACCATTTCTGATTGCCTTCTTGCTCGGAAATGGTAATTCCATTCGCTGTAAGATTCATTTTACCAGAACTTGAGATAGGATCATCACGATTAGCAGACCAGATGACCGTGCCAGACACTGCATGCATAACACACAAGTAAAAGTGGGCTTTTGCTCCAGGGTTGAACATAGCAACTTTGAATGTTCCATTTCGAGAGAACAGGAAAGCCCCTGCGTTGTCAACAAACTTAAAGTTTGAAGCAGAGAAATTTGGAAAGATTAATTCAGTGTATGTAACACCAGAGACAAGTGCATAGAATAAAAAGCTGGTGGACAAGAATAACAACAAGGTTCCCATATGTTGGATGATGAACAGACGAGAAAAGCAAGCGGTTTGATGAATGTGGTTTTGATGGAGTTGGAATTGGTCAGCCAGCACTTCTCCATTTCTTTTTTCAAATCCAGCTTCTTGGTTCTCCGTTGACTTCTCTCTCTCAACACCGACTAAATCCTGCCTGATTTGTGACGAAGGTAGAGAGGGTACACGTTTACTTGGTGATAACATCAACTGAGGATGTTAAGATTTAAAAATTTTCCATGCTGGTCAAACCTGAGGGAGATTTATTTGATAGCAGGAACATTGGTGATTCATGAATTTAAGAACCAATTGTTTAAGCAGTCTTGTATTCTAAAACAACATGCTGACAACTGTGATCCCACCTCTTTTATTCCATACCACCCTTTCATTAAAAACAATAGCCACAGCCCACGCTTCCATAATTTTAAAATCTTCAAACCCACTATGACAAAAGCATGTCTTTATTTAAAATTATATATAGCATTATTGATGTTCGATGAACAAGCACTAGGCAAGCCAACATCAACCACTGGAAAATAAATAAATAAAGGCCATCATTCAATTATGGTTTGACACAGTTGTATTGTCAACTAAATTTTTTCATTTCCTGCAAACCCATTTTGTAAATAACTAAATAGACAGTTACAGGAAAGACCAAATTAGCCTAGACAAAAGCATACAAAACCAACATGATTTAGCAAAACAAAAGACATACTTTTTACCTGTTCTGTAATGGTACTGCCGCCTCCAAGAGCCGAAATAGACAACACTACACGACAAATTCCAACTGGATCGATCCCAAGACACTAAAAGAATCTCTGATCCTCGGACGCGACAATTAATTGCTAGCTAGCAATAAGTGTTTGGTTGTGGCTTCAGATTCAATAGAGGAATCTAGGAGATTGCGCCAATGGAGAGGGGAATTGGACAAAATTAAAAGCATTGAAGAAGAGACGGAAGCATAGAAGCGTAAAAGAGAAAGCGGACAAATCCCAACTTGATAATGTTGTGGTTTTGGGAGGCGAGAGAGTTGATTCTGTTGTAGATAGAGTGTGAGCGAGTTGGGGGTATATGAGTGAAGAGAAGGAAAGGGTTAAAAAGAGCGATCGAGGTGGTTTGAGTTTTAAGAGATCGTTCGTGAGTCAGAGACTGAGAGGGAGACTGAGCAAGGCTAGGTAATATCGTTGGAGCAATCTCCTTGTTTTGGCGCCATCCTAAAAGATGGCAAAATTGCATATTTGCAATGGTTTTTTTTTTTTTTTTTCACATGCTAGAAGTCAGCCCTAGACCTAGATTATGGATGAATTTGCTAGAAAATATTTTCTTTTCCCTCTCGTAAGTTTTGAAACTAGATGACGATGTGGGGGAAGCAAATCCACTTACCAACTATACTCTTATAAAATGTTGGTTTATGAGGATGGAAGAAAAAACTTTGTCCATGGTATAACTTTGAATAAATGAAAAGAAAATGCAAAATTAACATGACCATAGTTAAATGATTTTAGCAACTAGACTAGATAATAATTTGATGGACTCTTGGGTGTCAATTGTCTGAAATCGTAACATTTTTTTCATATAAAAATACTATCATGGGTCACTATATTATTTCATTTATTAGCGTCATTAAAAATAAATAATTTTAAATAACAATTAAAAAAATTATTGAAGTAGAATTATATATGTTTAGTCAAATGATTAAGTATTTAGCTCCTGTCATATTTAGAATTATATTTCAACCAATTTTTGTTATTTATAAGTGCAAATTTAATTTTGAAAATATCATATATATCATTATCCTTATGTATTCAATTTAAATTTATTTTGTTGTTTTTTTCTTATCGTATCTCTCTGAATCGGTAAGTATCGAACCGTATTTAACATGCCAACACATACCCGAGACATTTTTTATAATGTCCATGCTTAGTGTAGTGTAATTTTACACGCTGGCCATACTCAAAGAGATAAAGAGAGAAACCTGATGTAATTGATGTTGAACTCTTAAGGATCAGTCGGTCCCATCAAAGCCGGGCGGCACCAACCTAATCTTTTTTTCTTGATTTGCTACTGCTCGAGAAAGTTTGGCTACCGATACCATGGTTTTGTTTTTTCAACTTGTGTGCTGCGGAAGACAAGAAAAAGGAATTCCCCGTCACTATAAATGATGGTATACTTCTTACCGACAAATATGACTTGGGCCGTATAAACCAAGTAAATAATGCCATATTTAAAGGTTGATGCTAGGATTTTAATTAGCTCCTTTTATTTTCTTCTCTCCATTTTTTTATGGGAAAAAAATAGCAATTCTGAATCAGCCCATTTGGCCTAACAAGACGGTTTGGATCGTACTAAAAAAGTTTTTTCAAAACCTGCAAGTGTCAGTTCCGCCGTATATATTATACGTTGATTTGACTTCCCTTGCGGGAGTTTGATGTGGGGGTTAGAATAAAGAAATAAAAAGGATCCATCAAGGCATCGTGAGAGCAAGATGATGCATCGCTCCATTGTCCTCCAGCACAATGGCATGATCAATTGCCTACTCCATTGGCCCATGTTTGTCTATGTCAAATATCGATGAGATTATAGATATTTTCTCAATGGGCTGAAACAAAGAGCTTTGTTTTGTTCCGGGACTTGCTGGAATTGTTTCAGTTTCCAATGAGAAACCTACAGCCTGCAAGATCTTTCATGTTAGGTTTCTTCGTAGTTGGAGGATGGTTCAACAATTTATTTATGTGAATCCAATCTTGAAGCTCACATGAAGGAAGATTTTTTAATTATTTGAAGAATAATTTGGGTTTTTTCAAAACCCTTTCTTCTCTTCACTTCTAATATCATATTAGGGAAGAAAGTAGGAGGAAAAAAATGAGAAAAAATCGAAACTTAAAAAAAAAAAAAGTTTTAATATAGATCAGTCATGGTAAAATTGAGTTTTTGTGTTCATTAATGGTTGGATCAAACTCAAATTTGATGGGTACGTTCGGGAGAGACAAACGTACATTCTAAATTGTGGATATCTATTTTTGAGTACCGAAAAGTAAGATATATTGCTAGAAATAGTACTATTTTCTCGGTGAAATTTGAACTTCGTTTCTTTTTCTTTTCTTTGTGTATCATCCGATGAAGTTTACTAAGGGTGTATAACCATTGATGTTTTGTGGCTAATATGCTCCTCTAGTTTAATTTAAAGAGAACTTCTTGTATTACTCATTATTATTGATAGTGGAAGTTTTTATGAATTCGATCCTATGGTTTTTCCTTCTCAAAGAGGTTTTTCATGTAAAATTTGTGTTTTTTTTTTGTGTGTGATTGGTATTCTATTTTTCAGATTATTAATTATTTATTTTATCTTAAGTATTTGTTTATAGCTCTTATTTGATTGTTCAAACTAGAATAAAAAGGTCCCGTTGTGTTATTTATGTTTTTTTGTCCAACATTACATAAGATTTATATTCCTTAAATAAAAAAACAAGTTTGAGTCGATATTCCTTTTATCTTATGGTTCGTCCTAGGATAACCGATTGCATAAGTATTAGTTAAAATGAGTTAATTACATTTTCGAGTGTGCCTAAACTTTTAAAATTTTCAATTTAAGTACACCAATTTTTTTATTTATTTAAATGCACAAACGTTAAAAAATTCTCTAATTGAGTGCATTGGTTGAGTTCCAATAAGTTCTCGCTATTGTGTCCATTAACTCCCTAATATTGTGGGATCTTTAAATTAAACATATTAGATATTGATTATTGAAAAACTAAAAAAAATAAATGAAAATAATGAGAGAGAAAAATGAAAAATAAAATTTTTTTTATTTTTTGGGAGAAAAAATGCCGCCCATTCACCTTCATCTTCTTCTATTTTTAAGAGAAACATTTAAAAAGAGAGAGGAGGAGAGAGACGGTCGTTGAGACAAAGAGCTTTCTAGAGGATGAGAGAGAATTTCTCTAGTCCAGGATCATGAATGTTAATTGCAATTGTCAAGATTATGATATCATTCGAACATTTTGGACAGATAAGAATCCTAAAATATAATTTATAACATGTCCAAATCGACATGTATGTACTTAGCTCTATCACCAACTTCTCGTTTTTTTATAATGTAAATTGGAAGTCTTTTACTTGAGTTCTTGTTTGTTTGTTTGTTAGCAAATATAAACAATTTGAAAGAAATTTGAAGTATAATTAATCCATTAAAAAACAAGCTAAACTAGCCAAAAATTTCCTTAACTTAAAACCATATGACAATTAGTTCATGTATTTTCAATTTCAATTTTGCCCTTTCTATACTTTCGTATATTTAAAATCAAGTTTTTATGCTACTTTATTTAGGTCCCCTCCATACTTTGCATTAAAAACTAATGAAATGACTTAAATACCCTTAACTTCAATATTCTTCAACCTAATCAATTTTTTTTTTGATAGAATTAATTTTAAACCTCGAAAATAAATTAAATAACCTTGAAATTTAATATCATAATTTTAATTCTCCAACCCAAACTTTTAGATTCGACTGTAAAAATCCAGTTGCCTAAATACCTTTTCTTGTTTGAAACAAAAACACCTTAAGATCTCTTTTTGGGGGTTTTTTTTTAATTTAAAACAAAAAAATTATAGATTGAGGATTAATATTATGATCTTAAATTCTATTTTTGAAATTTAAATTAATGCTATAAAAAATTAAAATTGATCTATTGGGTTAAAGGTTATTGAAATTGAGGATATTTAAGTCATCTTTATTGGCATTATATGCAAAAATATAGAGAAAATCATAAACAAAATAACTTGACTTTAAACATATCAAATTATACAAAGGTCAGAATTGAAATTGAAAGTATATATACTAATTTTTAAATAACTTTAAATTAATGAAAGTTTTTGCCAATTACAAGAAAAACTAAAACAAAACGTTAAAGTACCGTAACGTTTTAATCGTTCATTTACTATATATATATATATATATATATATATATATATTTTTTTTTTTCTTTTTGCTTTGCCTTGCCTATAGTCCGGGTTAATTTTTTTTTTCTCTCTTTCTTTTATTTCCCCCTTGCCCGTAGCCCCATTTTTATTTTTATTTTTTCCTTTCTTTCTTTCTCTCGATGCTTTAAGCCTCTCTTTTGGCTTTAAATTAACTTTATATTTTAATCCCTATTTTGTAACTTTTTTAAAAAAATTTTAATCATTAAAATTTTATTATAATAAATCTTTTTTTTCCTTTTGCTGCATTTTTTAAGCTCTTCTATTGGCTTTCAATGAATTTTATTTTTATTTTAATCTCTGTTTTGTAATTTTTTATCATGGTTATTAAAATTTTATTATATTTTATTTTTGTCCCTATAATAAATATTAAAATTTTATTTTATTTTTATTTTAATTCCTTTTTTGTAAATTTTTTATTTTGACCATTAAAATTTTATTATATTTAATTTTTATTCCTATAGTAAATTATTTTTTTCTCTTCGTGTATTTTTTAAGCTCCTCTTTTGGCTTTTAGCGAATTTTATTTTTAAATTAGTTCATGTTTTGTAAAATTTTATTATTTTAGTCATTTAAATTTTAATATATTTGATTTTTGTCCCTATAATAAATATTAAAATTTTATCATATTTGATTGTTTTTCATATAATAAATATTTTTTTCTTGGCTTTTAGTAAAATTGCTCATTCTTATTCTTTATAAGTTTTTTTGTTTTTTGTTTTTTGTTTTTTTGCTTTTAGTGAAAGTTTTTTTTTTTTTTTTTATCATTCTTTTATGATGTTTACTTTGTTTTGATCATTTAATTTTGATCATGCGTAATTTTATCTTTATTTATTTTTTTATCAAATTCTCGATTTGATAAACTTTTTTGTCTTTTTGTTTTGGGTGGTCTCTCTATCTCATTAATAAATTATAAATGAAGAATATATGATAAAAATTAATTATCTAAAATTCAAAAAACTACCATATTATTATTTTAATTATCATTTATTATATATATTTATAATAAAATAAATTTTTATATGAAACAATATCTAATTAGCAACATTATATTGCTCAACTTTACTACAAGCTTTTTGTTTAACTAACTCTATGGAAAAATATAAGATATATGTTTTGATTCTTTTTTTTTTAATTTTTTACGTGATCCTTTTAAATAATTATTTTTAAATTTTATATTTTATATGAATGAATACATAAGAATGTTATATAACTCACTCTGAATTTTTTTCACGTGATCCTTTTATATAATTATTTTTAAAATTTGTATTTTATATGAATGAACACATAAAAATATCATATAGCTCATTCCATGACAACAAACGAGATATATGCTAGTTTAATCTAAACAATGTTGCGCACAGCATGTTTGTTTGTTATTGTTTTAATTTTAAAGCAGCTGATTTTTATTTGCTTTCGATTTTAAAACAGTATTCGATTAAAGTCTATTTTACTTTCAAAGCTTCAAAAGCAAAGAACGAGGGATGTGGCAATTTAAAAAGGGAATTATTTTCATTTTGGATAGCATCAGACTGTCCTACTTTTAACTCAAAGGGAATATTTTATTATGATGCCTACCTTTTTTTTTTTTTTTTTTTTGAGTAAAAACACATCTTTTGAAAAATGCAACAATCCATTACCATACACTATTTTTATTAACGTTACTTTGAATTCATGGTGTAACATAGAATGGTAACAAACACACAATACGATACAACAATACCAAATAGACACTAATTAGGTTTCATGAGACATGCTATGATTCTCCTGTATCTTTGAAAAAAATAGTTAAAGCTACATTTTACCAGATTCAATATATTTTATACAAAAAAATTTATATTGTTTCAATTTCGTATGCTAATTAAAATAATACACTCCTTAAAGTACCAATTTCTTTTATCTGGAAGAGCGATTCTAATCATTTCGTGTGTTGCAGGAAATAAGGATTGGATATCTCGCCAGTATGCAAATTTTTGTGCTAATAATTACAATTTTCGTTTTTTTTTTTTTAGTGATTATCTGAATCTAGTACAGACAATGCTGAACTTTATGTTGGTATAGACAGCATTTTTATTTGTGTGAAGGTTGTTAGTTAAAATTTAATTCCTCATCATACGTGATGCTTTATGTAATACACATGAAGCACTGGTGAATTAACAAAACAATATAGAAATTTGATGCCAAGGCCATGGGTCTCTCATTTAGACCTTTGAGCTCAGTTTGGTGCCGGGCTCGAAGTAAATCCATTCGTGGTCATCGTCAATATTATTCTAACAAACAACATTTAACTAGTCTTTTAGGAGATTCCTTGAGAGGACACAAAGTCTGTGATTATGAAGTAGTAGCTTCGTTGTAGGTTTGACATTTTGCTACTTGCGAAATCATGCTTCTAATTACACATGCCCAACGGCGAAAAAATGATACACTACTTTCTTTGCGTTGCAAAAGTTCATTAATGGTGTTCTTAGGAACATAAGGGATTTTTCTATTTTTTATTCTCAGAATAAGCGAAAGGGAATTCGAATCGTACACTACACTCAAAATCATCACATGCTTGACCGAAAATTATGCTCGTGTATATGTTTTGGGTGGTCCTAAGGAAACCTATGATTAGTGGCAGGGTACAATTCTTTGCGTGGATGTTCTTATATATTGTAGAGTATACCCTGTCTCCTCGATTCACATGCTTGTGCACAAGTGATGGAGACAAGGCATATATGCATCCATCCAAACCATTAATGAATTTGTTATGTGTGTTTTAAGCGTTAAATTATTCTAAAAAAACAGTTAAATGATTTGAAATCCTCACGTCGATCCTTAATCTTCTATATCCCCCAGATAATTGCAACTAAAGAAAGGGAATAGTTACGACACAACGGGGAAGAGACAAGAAGAGAGTGGATGGTGACGGCGATGCAAGATAGTTTCTTGTGTATGGGACGATGTGAAATGAAGCCACAGATACACTGAAATTCCAGTGTAACTCCTGAGTAAACTGGGACCTAAAGCGGTATGATTGTTTGGTATCATGGCCAAGGCCGACAAATCTCTGGACGCTCTCACAATTATTCATATGCTACGTGCAGTGGTGGAGATGATCTCAGGGTCATGCTCATAGTATCGTCACTTATGGTCCTCCAAAATATAGGACTAAAAATGTTACCGTTACACGAGGCAATCGATGCTAATCACCAACCAGGATGATTCCCAATGACCGACCTATGCCAAATGAAATTTAACTAGTTAAGATCGATAGCGCTGTTGGAGTAATCGATTCAGTGCCAGACCAGTAGTCAGACCATAGAACGTTCCTGCAAATTATGACCTTTGCCTGGAATGTGAGCAAATAAACCGTGTCGTTTGCTAGTGATAATTACGAGATGGTAACCCTTTCTCTTCTCTAATATTGATGGTAACAGGGACTCAGGGAGTAAGATTTTTAAATAGATTTTTTTATTTCTAAACATTAACTTATTCATATGATATGGATTGTACATGTGTGGTAGTTAACATTATACAAATTGAATAAATAAAAAAAGTTAAACTATTCTTATCGAATTCTTGAAATTTAAAATACATTTTTTTTCCGAAAGCCCATTTATTTACTGTATACTTGGTATCAAAGGAAGGTATTCACTGATTTTCTTTTCAACAAATTAAGATTGGGTGGTTACTTAAAAAATCTCTACTCTAGTCTTCTTTATCACCGCCCATACGACCATAAATACCAATACGCACACAGACCCCAAAATTACACCATTTTTCTATTTCAACAACCCCACCTCGGCGGCGCAATTTAGCATTCATCAGCCTGGACGCTGATACGTGGCACATGATGCACCAACCTTTCCCTTTATAAAAAAAGAAATAAAAAACGTAAAATAATCATCAAAAGAGAAAGGGAAGCGAAGAGAAAGCAAAAGAAAAGGAAAAGGAAAAGGAAAAGAAAAGAAAGTGAAGGTACTGGCTGGGGTTAGGGCCGAGGGGGAGTCATTAGTAGACAAAGGAATCGATAGTCGGCGCCATTTGTCTTAGCCGACCAATCATCACGTCCCTTTCTCTTTTTTAACTTCCTACCTTTACCCTCTTTATAAAACCCTATCATCTCTTGCCCTTTCTTTCTTGTTGTTTCTCTTTTATAGTTTTGTTTTTCCTTTTCTTTCCTTTTTTTTTTCAGTGTCCTATTACTATCGGTTCTTCCGTAAATTTTTTTAACAATCGGAAGGTGCCTCAGTTTTAGGGTTTTCCTTATCTATCACTTCATTGTTTTTGATTGATTTTGTTCTTGTTTTTGTTAAAGAAAATTCGTTTCTGTGCTGTTACTGTTTAATTGTTTTTGAGGAATTATGAGAAGTTCGAGTGAGCAATCGGCAGTGATGGTGGTTGAGAGGGCGGAGGATAGTGGTGATAAGGAGAAGAAGAAGAATAAGCGCCGATCTAATCGCCGATCCAAACAGAACTCTCCCAATCCAGGTAATCTTTAGCATATGAATATGATTTTTTTTGTTTGAGGTTGTTGATGAAAGTACAGTTAGCTGTTGTAAAATTTTGTTTTATAACTGTAAAAAAAGAAAAAGATAAGGATAGAAAGATTCGTGATTTTTGGAATTTTTGTTGGCTTTCTTTTTGTTTTCTACCCTTTCAGTATCATGAAAGAATTTTGAGAACAGAACAGTGATCAATTTTTGCGTTTATTTTTGTTGACTTCCTCTTTCACTTGATTAATGTTGTGATTAGTTGTGGTGAAAAGTAAGAAATCCTCTGGCACCCAGGGAGTTCACTAGCATAGTTTACTGTTAGCTGGCGTTTGTGGTAAACCTTGAAGGTATAATAGTTCTGGTCTTTGTCAGAAAAATTTTGAGGATTTGGTTTTTCATTTTTTTTCTGTTTTTAATTGTCATGAGAGCAGCTTTTAGTTCACCAAATGAACTACGTGGGGAATCATCAATGTCTGTTGGAAATGGTGGCAAAACAAAATGTTGTACAGCGTCTATGGGTTGCTTATCTTCCAGGCAGCTGGAATTAGATGCAAATCCCCTCAGCAAGCATGGACCCACATCGTCGGGAATAGCCTTTAGTTCTATGCCAATTATGCATGTGAATGAACGACCAGAAGAGCTAGTGCCATCTGATCTTGGTGGATCAATCCTTGCTAAGTCATGTCCAGAACCAATTGTTGGTGGAGGTCCCCGAGGAAGATCACTTCCTTCTCACCAGGTTGAGGGTCAAGCTCAGAGTAAAATTTTTGCACCGTACTGGTCCATGGAGACTGTTAATGAAGCGTTAGAGGTTTGTTCAATATTTAATGCAAAACAGTGCTACCGTTACTACCACAGCTTTTCCTTAATTTTTGTTGGCTCACTCGTGTTAGCTATCTTAAATTCTTGGCAGAAAGGTGATGCATTTAAAGTGTTATTTCGTGTAAATGCTCACAATCGACTCGAGGTTTGTTTTATGCTTTAATTGATTTCACTGTTTGCAATTGTTCTTTCTATGCTCCCTAGTTAATTTTCATTCTCAGCTATTTGCATATACTGTTTTCTATTGGTAGGCATACTGCAAAATTGAGGGAGTACCTACAGATGTTCTTATTAGTGGAATTGCTGCACAGAACAGGGCTGTAAGTTTGGGCTTCAATTTATTTATTTTTCAATGTTATTTGTTATTTGGTACACTCTAATTGAGTAATTAGAAGATGACCTAGGCTTGCATTTCTAACAAGATGCCTGATCTATGGCTAAAATAATCAGTGACAACATATGTGAACTAGATTTCACTCTTTTGGTATTGAATGAAATCACTTTTTTCTGTATAGGTAGAAGGTGATGTTGTGGTCATCAAGGTTGATCCTCTGTCATTCTGGACCAAGATGAAAGGTTCGAATGGGCCATCAAACAATCTTTCCACAGCAGAGGATAGCAATTTATGTCTTGAAGCCAATGGAAAAGCTGGTGGTAGCTCCAAAGGAAAAAGTAAACTGAACATGGATTTTGACTGTGCGGATTATGGAAATTCAACAGTTCCTCAGAAGGGGTTTCATTACGAGGCTAGTTCTCGTAATGGTGATGAACTGAATGGACCAGTGGGTTATAATTCTGTTAATGGGTATCACCAATCAGCTTCAGATTCTTCACCTGTTCCTTCTACAGGGAAGAATGAAGTTTTGAATGGTGTGCAGAGGATGTGTGCCACGATTAGCTCATACCCATCAAAACGACCAACCGGTAGAGTTGTTGCTATCATTGAAAAATCTCCTCGTCGAGATGCTATTGTTGGCTTTCTCAATGTTAAACAGTGGTTCTACTACAGGGATGGCTGTAAAAAATATGCAAAAAGGAACAAGAGCTGGTTATCAATTTCAAACCATGAATACATCGAGATGATACCCACTGACCCAAGATTCCCCAAACTGATGGTCCTTGCGAGCAGTTTACCTGACTGCATCAAGAAAAGGTTGGAGGATGAAGATGCAACAGTTGAAATGGAGTTGGTATCTGTGCAGATTGATGATTGGAGTGATGAAAGTCCCTTCCCAGAAGCCCATGTCTCATGTATTTTCGGACGGGGCAGTGAAATGGAGTCACAAATTAATGCTATTTTACATGAAAATGCAATTTGTTGTTCTGAATTTTCTCAGGAATCACTTTCCTGTCTTCCAAGCAATACTTGGGAGATCCCGAAAGAGGAATTCCAAAATAGAAGAGATCGTAGGAATTTATGCATATTTACCATCGACCCTTCTAGTGGTACTGATTTAGATGATGCTCTCTCAGGTCAGAGGTTACCCAATGGCCTTGTCAGAGTGGGTGTCCACATTGCTGATGTGTCATATTTTGTTTTACCTGACACAGCCTTAGACATGGAAGCTCAGATTAGATCAACCAGTGTTTATATGTTGCAGCACAAAATACCCATGTTGCCTCCATTGCTTTCAGAGAACGTAGGTTCTCTTAACCCTGGAGTTGATAGGCTTGCATTTTCTATCTTCTGGGACTTGAACAGTTCTGGGAATGTTGTAGATCGCTGGATTGGCCGCACTGTGATACGATCTTGTTGCAAGCTTTCATATGAACACGTTCAGGACATTGTTGATGGGATGATTGATGCAGAGACTTGCAACTCCTTTGGAGATGACCTTCCACAGTTGCATGGTCATTTTGAATGGGCAGATGTAATTGGATCTGTTAAGTGTCTTCATGAAATTTCGAAGACTTTAAGGGAAAAGAGGTTTGATGATGGGGCTCTACAGCTTGAAAGTTCTAAAATTGTGTTTTTGTTTGATGAATATGGAGTTCCATATGATAGCATGCTTTGTGAGCGAAAGGACTCTAATTTTCTTGTTGAGGAGTTTATGCTTTTGGCAAACAGGACTGCGGCTGAAATCATATCTAGAGCGTTTCCAGATAGTGCATTGCTGCGGAGGCACCCTGAACCTAGTATGCGGAAACTCAGAGAGTTTGAAGCTTTTTGTTGCAAGCATGGTTTAGAATTGGACACTTCTTCTTCTGGTAACTTCTGTCGGTCATTAGAGCACATCAAGGAAAAGCTTAAGGATGACTCTGTGCTATTTAATATTCTTGTCAACTATGCTTCAAGGCCAATGCAGTTGGCAACCTACTTTTGTAGTGGTGATTTGAAAGATAATATGAATGATTGGGGTCATTATGCACTGGCTGTTCCTCTCTACACGCATTTTACTTCACCACTGCGCCGATATCCTGATATTGTTGTCCATCGAACACTGGCTGCAGCAATTGAAGCTGAGCAATTGTATATGATGTATAGAAGAATGTCCCATAAAGTGATGCCAGGTGAAGAAGTGCCAAGATGTTTCACTGGTATTTGTTTTCTTAAAGATGCTGCTGGATCCTCAGAAGGCAGGGAGGCATTATCAGCTGCAGCATTAAAGCATAGAATTCCCTGCACAGAGTTACTTGCAGATGTTGCAGCTTATTGTAACAAGAGAAAGCTGGCCAGTAGGCAGGTCAAGGATGCCTGTGAAAAGCTCTACATGTGGGTTTCAGTGAAGAGAAAGGAGGTATGTTTTCTCCCTTTATTTGGACCTCTTGAATGTTTAAGTTATATAATTTGTTGAACTTCATACCTAACGCAGAATAGGATGATACAATTGACGAAACAATGTACTTTTGTTAGTGATTGGCCATGTAATGGTTAATATGCTCTGGATTCCATTCAACTATCACGTGTTTGTTTACATACATGGCCATGAATCCATTTGCCTTCTCTTTCTGTCCTGCAGGTTTTATTGTCTGATGCCAGAGTTTTGGGTCTTGGTCCAAGGTTTATGTCCATTTATATACACAAACTAGCTGTGAGTGTATCTACCTATATATTATCTGCAATTTTGACTATATTGCATAATGGTCTCTCATTTTCAACCACGCTTGCTTTCAGATCGAACGACGTGTTTATTATGATGAAGTTGAAGGCCTGACTGTGGAATGGCTTGAAGCCACATCGACCCTGGTGCTAAATATATGTGCCTCCAAACGCTCAGTCCGGAGAGCAGGCTCTGGGTATTACAGGGCGCTTGATGAGGTTGCATGGGTTATAAATCCTTGTGATGATCATACCTTGGAACCTGACATGGAGAGCACCAAGGGATGTAGTGCAGTGCAGCATTCCGATCCCATTTCGAAATCTGAAATTGATCCTTTAGTTTTCCCTCTCACAGTGCGTCTTCTCTCAACAATCCCTGTAGCTCTTCATGCCATTGGTGGGGATGATGGGCCCCTTGATATTGGGGTGCGGCTATTAGCGAGCTCATATTTTACCTAGCATGAACTGGTATTTGAGTGGCAGATGAGTTTTTCAGCTCAATGAATCTATAAGTGAAGGGGACAGGGCTTTATCACGGATCACAAGGGCTCTGTTGTAGATAAGTACTTTAGTGTATAGTTTTAGACTAAAAACGAAAAGAAAAATCCGTGGTTTTTTTTTTTCAGAATCACTGATTTTTTTTTTTTTTAAAAAAAACTTCGATGCTAAAGCATCCAGTGGAAGGTGTAGATAATAGCGGGCTACGTGCTGCGGGGTGTTTTAGCTATGGTGGCTGTTTTTAACAAAAGCTGCTTAATAGTGGAATCGGCCCTTGTTTTTGGAGGCCTGTTCCATTCGGCATAATTTGGTGTTGGCTCATGTGTAGTGCTTTGGAGCGAAGTTGTTGCATTATTCTCAGCTTTTGTAAGGCGGACCAATGCAGCCCATAACTTTTTATTTTGGGTCGCTGGTTCTTAGCTCCTAGTTCAATAACAAATCCGGTATGTTGGACTGGGAGACTATAATATTTTTACTTGGAATAAATTTGGCTTTTTTTTTTTTGTTCTTTTGTTGAATTTTGAGAGAACGAGCCATCACTTTCTTAACGAGAGTAGATGCCGTTGGAGGGTTGACATGTTTGTAACATAACTTGAGATCGCATTGAGTTTTTGTTCTTTTAATCATTATAATAATTATTGAGTTTCAAAATCTTGATATCTTTTGGGGCTGTTTTCCCTTGCATTTGTCCCAGTTAGTTTCTTTGTAATTTAGCTCACGTAAAGTTAAACCGGAAAAGGGAAGATGAAATAAGAAAAATCTCGGGCGGGTATTGGTAATAATAATAACTAAAGTCTTTAAGTTTAGCAGCATGCGATGCCAATCCAAATTCAATTTTTACGAGCTAAGCAAAGCTCATGCTCGTAGATATCCTTGGACGAATAAAAAAGTGCCGAAGACTACCTAGAGCCTAAATGAAGTCGCGCGCGCTCAAAACTCTCTGCAGAACGCGGTCGAAGAAGAGGAAAGCGATTAATCTGGTTCGTTCGTTGTGCTACGAGACATGACGTCTGCAATTGGATGGTACGGGCCGCTACTCGATCTCTGCAAAGCCGCTTCTCACATCGGCGATTTCGTTCAGCTTCTCGTATTTGTTCACCGCTCCATTCCCGTTCAGGTTTTCCTCGCGTTTCCTTCTATTAAAATCTACACTCTTGTGAATGTTAGAACAATCGCCTTCTTACATTATTTTCTTTTCTGGTTTCTTAAATTTATGAATTATGCAGTACAAATTATTAAAAGGTGGAGAAGTAATCAGGACAGACATTCAGGTTGGTGATGATACGCTGCCATTTTTCTCCGTCTCTTTGTGGAAAAAGCAGATGGGAGCAATGGTTGTTGCCGGTGATATTTTATTGTTGCAAAGTAATGCCCATTTTCTACAATCTACTTCAATTTCATAATCTATACAAGGGGATTGCAATTTTCTGCTTTATTGATTCTTTATTTATGGGAAAATTTCTCTCATGTATTCCACTTTAGAATTTCATTCCATATTCTGATAATCAATTTTTTGAATTTCTGATTTGCTCATTTCTTCAACTTGTAACGGTTATAATCAAATGAATTGTTGATTTTGCCAAGTTTTATTTTTTCTTTGGAGTAATTCAGATGTGAAGATCACTAAATTTGGACATGCTGTGGAGGCCAGAACCGTCGAGTGCTCATCATTAATACGTTTAATCCATCCTTATGGGTCTCTTATCTCAAAAGGTACTTCATTTTGCTTATCTTTTCTGCTTGGAAGTTTTAACTCTGCCCCAGATATATGCAATGTAATCTTGGAGTCATTTTTGGACTTTCAAATTTTGAAGATTACAACTGCTTAGAATTAAGAGGAAATGAAAAAGGAGGCTATTCTATTAATGTTATCATCCTATGGATCGTTTCTAAATAATGAATATGTATGTAGGCATAGATCAGTTAATAGAGGAATCTCGACTAGGGAAAACAACAATGGAAAAGCTTTGCAAGGTGATAAAATGGGCGCAGCGAGCTAGATCTGCTCTTAACACAACCGCATCACATAGCTTTGCGGTAATGTCTTTACTCTTTTGTTTTGTTGCTTATTTACATTGCGTTCAACTGCACCTAATCTTATATGTTGCTTGGGGAATTTGAATCCAATAAACTTATGGTCTCAATTGTATAATTTGAATAAAGAATTTCTTTTAATGATTGTGTGCTGGGCATGCTATAAGTTGTGTTTAATGTCCCTTCTTTTTTATGTACTCCAATCTTCCAGTTTTAAGTGATCCCTTTGCGGGTTATGCCCACCACTTTATGTTTGAGAAAATATTATGGTCCCAGGGTTCTTGTTGTTGCTTATTCCAGTTCAGTCATTTAGGAAAATAATCTTTTTTTCCTCGTGGACGCATCATATGTTAAACCATTGCAAGTCATTTCGGATGATGCAGTATGCAATATGGAGAGGCAAGATATGTACTGAAGACAAACACAACTAGATATTATTCCATAGAGAAAGAAATGAAAAATAACTTGCAACAAAGAATCCTTTGCATCGCCTTAGGTTTTGTTCAAAAGGAATAAGATGTACACTAGGTAATGAGTCTCATAAGCACCATGTTTTACTGTTGCATTCACATCACAACAGTTGCATCTTTAAAGTTTTATCAGTACTGTTGGCATGTTAGTTGTACTCGTATGAGTAACATCGAAACAACTTGCATGGCAGAAGAAGCAACCGAGGAACTGGAAAGTGCCAAAACAGAGTGAATCCCAGAACTTTCTCTTGCTTTCAGAAGTATTGCGTCTAAGTAATTCCTGTAAGGCAATTTTTAATGCATCGATTGGTGAAATTTTCCTACCAATTACCTGGAGAGCACTTGGTGACTCTGAGAAGGAAAAGATGTTTGTCAGCAGGAGGATATTTGAAGACAAAGATGATTGTGTAGCAGAAGATTTTATTTGTATTGGCTGCCAACTATGTGGCTCTCCTTTGGATTCAGAGAATGGGTATGGAAAATTCAAAGTGCTATAATGCAATTGTTTCCTGTATGGAAAATTGAAAATAAATCAGATACTAAATAGTTTATTGGTTGCTACAGGTCTATATGTAAGCAAAACTCTGTTTCACTCTATTGCCCGAAAAGCTCAAATCACCTTCATGCAGCATCCTTGATTTACAGGCCCTTTATGGTATGGATTTTTTCATGCCCTTGTCTTGATATTTGCAATGCTTTCCTTCTTATTGAAATGGTGAAAGCACTGCACTTACAGGCTGATTGATGATATTCCAAGCATCTGTTCTCGTCATTCTGCTTTTTTCCCTCATTATATGGCTGGTGTTGTCTCTGTCTGCATGATAGATTTTCTCGTTTGCAAGATTTCCAAGAAAAGAAATTTTTTAGGAACAAGTCTCCAGTTCTTAATTTTGTATGGCTTAGATCATCTAGAAATCAGTATGTAGCTGATTATAATTTTCTGCATCAGATTTATTTTCTCTATTATATTGTTTCATAATATTCATGTCAGAGTTTTTCTTCCACTGCAGTTATATGTCTGGGACGAATCAGAATACCTGCCGCTCCTTGTACGAAATGAGGCTGCGGTACTGTTGTTTGGAAACATCAGGGCTGAAAGAGTCTACCCAAGCTATAAAGGACGAAACAATAGTCATAATCCCAACCAAACATATTTTTGCCGGGAGAATAATCCTGAAGCTGTAGGGAAAGAATTAGCGGGGTCTTGCTCATCAGATGCAGACAGGAGCCTAGAAGTTAAGGAGAAAAACCATCGTAATAAAAACATCGACTTTAATTTGATTTGGTTAGTTCTTCTAAAGATGTTGTTGCAGCAGGGAAAAAACAGTCCCTTGAAATTTGAAGTAACTGTGAACGCCAGTCTAGATACCGAACAAGGGAAGTTTGAAATGCTTTCTGTTTCAATTCCCTGCGCCAAAGACAAATTGTTCTCTGGTTGATGTATATATAATTAGCTAGTTAGAGGACCCAATATTCCTTTTCGTGTAATCATAAACTCTCCAAAATTCAGTAGATTCGGCAGATTGGTGCATCAGATTAATTATGCTGGATCCCAGTATCCCGCAGCTCCTCTTATGCGTTGGTCTGTAAACAGTTCCTAGGTCAAGTTTTACCTGTCTACAAGAGTTACTTAGTCCTATGGCGTAATGACAGAGATCTTTCTACCAAAAAAAAAAAAAAAAGATAAAAACACACCATGAAGAAGGTGAGATGTGCCCAAGTAACTTCGAAACATTTGCAACTTCACCACACCAAACATTCTAAGCGAATCAACGAATTATTATTTTTGAGAGTAATGAAATAGCTTCTAAAAAAACCTTTGTTTTTATTTAAAACTGAGTCTTCTTGGCTGATCACAAATATGATGTTACATCATTCATTATCAACCAACTTTAAAGTGAAAATCAGGGCTGTAAGAAGCTGAACAAGGAATCACCACAAAGTAAGGAAAAGGAGAAGCCAAACCACCATCTGTCTCTGATGCCAAGTCGAACAGGCTAATAGCTCTCCAACATGAGGTACACGGCTTTGTGAGCTTGAGATCAAGACTCAGATCCTGTCTCTGCAAAAGATTCATCACCTGCAGAATTCTGGGTTTCTAGTAGCTTTGCTTGGCGTTCTGCATGTTCTCTTTCACATTGACTGATCCCCATTATAATATCAAGCATTGTACCTGTCGTACCAAAGAACACAAGGGGTGCTAAGGATTTTCGTTTTATCCCAACTGGAATTGCTAGCAAAGCTCCTGCGACTGAGAAGACCCATGTTCCTAGTGCGCTGCAGATACAGATCATTCAGTAGCTAACATAACAGTTTTATTTGAAACAACAGGTAAATGAATACAGGAGACATGGGCAAATGGCATGATAAAACTTGATGCTCTCAATCGAAGTTAAAAGGCCAGGACCAAATCAGAAACCAGACAGATATCTGCTCATGAGTACAATCACTAGATATGGCTAGGATAGCAGTGTGACAAAGGTCCAATCTTCCGTTCTGTTCCTTCTAATAAAGATCAAAAATGCATATTCACAAACTCATTCAAATAGAAGTATTGATATGATAATCAGGATTTGATAATCTAAAATGACAAGACTCCCTAAGTTGAAGTTAAACTTTCAAGTCACTGAAACCATAGCGATCGGCCCAGAAAATCAAAATGTTCTCAATTCTTCAATTTCATCAAAGCATCGATAAAAGGAACATTTACAAATCGAAAGTCAAAGAAGGATGAAACTAACTTAGCAACCGAGCAGTCCTCAAGATGCTTAACATTCTCCTGTCCTGCTGCCATTGTTCTTCTCTCTGTTATGAAAATTGAAACCCACTTCAACGCTTTGTAAATTTAATAAAAATGAAGAACAACCCTACAAACTATCAAATCCCAATAAATACATAAAAGAGAAGAAAACTAAATTTGTCAAATTGATGGATGCCCGTAACAATAACAAATGATTCCAAAATTACCTGATAAAATTTTCTCCCGGATAGAAGATGGTGAATCTGCGAGAAAACGAAATTAGAGGACTGCTTCTTTCTGCATAGTACGTACTGCGCTCGTCTCAGTGGTTTAAGTGATAACCGGTCCACCCGCTTCAACAATTCCCCGGTTTACATATTGTCAGGTTTTTATAGTCCGCGGATAAAAATAGAAACGATTCGTCGTTTGATGAGGTAAAATGTAAAAAACCAAAAAACTCAGGGAAGGAAAAAGAAAAGAAAAGGAAGCCAGAGAGAGAGAGAGAGAGAGTTGGATCGGAGAGATGAAAGGAGTAGGAGGGCCACTGCTGTGCATAGGAGATTTGTTAAGCGATCTTGCAGAGAAGGAAGAAGATGATGTTGTCTCCGCAGCAGCAGCTCCTTCTTCATCAATTTCTGATTCCAACAATAAGAGCCTTCAATCCTTAGACCTCACCAAACTCTTTCAGGTTTCTTCTCTCTCTTCAATTCCCAAAACCTACGGGAAAATTAATTTATTAACTTTTTATCTTTTATATTTTTGTACAGGAAGACTATAACCGCTTGAATCAAGCACTTGACGGAACTGATCACTCATGGACAGCTCTTACTCTTAAGGTTCGAAAGCTGATCAAATTTTAATAAAGGATAGATTTCAGTAATTTAATAGTGCAGGATTACCTTGAATATAATTTGAATGGTTCAGTGCAGACAAATTACTGAATTAAAATAAGATTTTCTTTTTAATCAATGAGTTCTTTTATTTGTTATTATTTCAGATATGCACTTCTTTGGAAACTGCAAACAAGTTGGTCCAATCGACAAACTCGAATGTTAGATTGCTGTCTGAGAAAGTAGAAGAGCTTGAGAAAATTGTTAAGAGAGGAGATTCGGCTGTAGCAGCAGCCAAGGCCATTCATGTTTCTTTAAATCGAAAGGGAGGATCATTTAATGGGAGTCAAAATGCAACAGTCTAGGTCTCATATGAACATGCTTGGTAAAGTGAGATTTATCATAGTTCTTTTTTCAGATTCCTTTTTTTGCTTTCTCTGGATACAGTGCAGAACTTTCATTTGAATAAAGATGCAGGATTGCGAGCTATTGATTGAGTTGAATTATCTCTACTTGCTAAAATGCAAAATTTATGATGTAATTCTTCTATTGCTTATTTGGTGTTCCCTGATTTAAAATGCTGAAAGGCTATACAGGGCAGAGAGTTTAGTAGGAAAGCAAACAGTAACCCAGCATGTGCTAAACTATCACTAACCAAGCAATTTGTAATGATTTAAAATGGTTTTGAGGTGCATTTTTTGCTGTTATTGTTGACATGAACCGTGGCAAAAAGCACTGTTTCTCTTGGTCGGAGGAAGAGAGACTATATTTCATCAGGGATATGCGATAACGTTGAGGAGATTGCTTTGTTTTATAAATCTCATGCTCAAGTGTTTTTGTGTCTGTTATTTCATCAATTTTCTTTTTATAAGTTCATTTATATGCATGACATTATGAATGCTGTGATGGAAATCACCTAGCGGGTGTGATTGTGTACATATGATCAAGTGAGCAGCCACACCAATTACATATAAAGCTGAAACCAAAGAAATGGGGCGATGCTGTTGCTCCATACTGTCTTAAAAATTCCAACACAATAATACCCAAATTCAATTGTGAATTCTGACAGAAAATCTCTGTTAATTGTTGCCCAACCATCGTGAGTCCTGTGTAATAAATTTTTACTAACCACCTCCAAATAAGATAGAATGCTATTTATAACAATCCTCTTGTCCATTTTGTGGAGTAGACGCCCGAGGTTGGGATATGGTGGGTGGGACGGCCATCGCAATAGATTTTATTTATCTTCTCCCTTCATGCTTGATGGTAACTCTTTCCTAAAAGATAATAGCATCTGTAGATGTCAATGAGCTTGCATGTGCATCCAATATGAAAAGGACCTGCTTCGCTGTAGGCTTTGAATAACCCTTAACACATTTTAAGGTTAATTCGTTGTAACTAGTTGAAGTTACTGTTGATAAATGTTTAACTTTAGTTTAATTTGTGTTAAGTTAATGTAATTAGACTTAGCTTAAGTGGTGTTTAAAATGAAGAAGTATAAGGTTAATTTGCTGTTTTTTTTTAAGTATAAATAATTGGTGATTAAAGTGAACTAAATGCATGTAAAAAACTCTCTGGATAATTGTTCTTATTTTGTATGTCCGATAGAACAGTAAAGAAATAGTCTGGATTTTGAGTTTAGGATACCTTGGAGGATCGAAAAAGTGAACAAGTGTAAGGCTAACTTGTGTTAAGTTTATAATTGGCGTGTCGGTAAAAATAAATAAATAAGTAAATAAAATGAAAAAACAGCTATTATAGTTACAGGTTGTTTTGACCTGAGTGCTTGCTGAACTTGGGCTCCAATATAACTGTAAGATCTAAAAAGATTACGTGCATAATGATTTGAACGCTAACTTGCTAGGGTTTTAGACATGCTGATGCAGTCTTCGATAGATGTAATACAGTTGAAACTTAAGCATTGATTAAGATCTTTTACTTGCAAATCAACTGACTCCTAGACAATTAGACAAAGAAAAGGAGCCATTATGTGGAAATTATAGGTAGTCTTTCCGTTCCTTTTATTTTGTTAACCTGTGATGTGCTCAACTGCCAATTTTACTCTGTAAATAACTGCATACATATGCACTATTATAGAAGAAAATTCAAGCTAAATTCATATTTTTCATGAATTAGCAAAACGTAGAGTTATATTAAGGTATCATCAGTTGGCGACTAATGCAATATGCTAACAGGTAAGAAATCTACATTAATAAAGGAAACGTCACTTCCACCTTACTGAAGCAACTCTTACCAAGAACCCAAACCTTTGTAGCTATGATGCCCCATCTCCTGATGAGCGCTAAGACATTCTAGTGCCAGAGGTACCAAAACTTTGAATGGAAGCAGCACTAAGAGTTATCGAAGAGTGGGGGCGATCTAAATCCAGAATCACACACCTCATATTCTCTCCGCTTGCTGGCATAGATATGCCAGGAGCAGATTATCAACTTATCATGCTCCTTGTACTTGAACCGACCAACAAGAGAATCATGCTGTATCATTAGGGCTGTACTATTGGTGCTGAACCTGATGTGTCAGTTGAACCACCATTGTTCCAAATTTTATCTGCGTCACAGACAATCATTCCCGACTCAAATGATGGAATCGAAGGACACCTACGTGAAATGGGTCTAACTGTTCAATTTTCAAGGAATGTGACCGAGTTGATCTCTCGAAATATTGGAAAGTGCTTGGTGGAAGCATTTGGCCCAATTGGTTTTAGTTATTGGAACTCATTGTTTAGGGTAGTACAACAAGTGGTGCAGCAATTCTCAATTTGATTGAAGCTGAAGGTGACCTGAAACAAGAAAACTATCAGCAACTAGGCATGGGCGAAACGGGAATGGAAACATGGGTGGTCCAACTGTGTTTTTCATTCTGGAAGAGGTTAGGAGAAGGTTTTCAGGGGAAAAAAAGACCACTATCGGTAAAGGGATGGAGTGGGGTGTGTTGATTGGATTAGGGGCAGGTGTCACCTTGGATGCAGTTGTGATGTACAGTGTTCCTGTAGCTGAAGGCCACTCAGTCTTGTCTAATGCTTCGTGCTCATACATGGTGTCGCTTGGAAGTAATAAAAAATCACAAAAGCTTGATTGGTATTAAGTGTTTCGTAATAAATGAGAACACTTGTTTTACCGTCATTTCAGTGGTTTTGATCAATGATGGCGCGCTGCTATATGTGTACTTTCGTAAATTCGGAGATGAAATTTTTCTGTAGAATGTAAGGTTCTGTCCATAAGAAATGATCTATTTGCTCTCCTCTTCCTCCTGTCTGAAAAGAAGGGAATTCTTGTTAGTTATAGTAGTTTCAAGGACAACCAACCTCGCGAATTTAAAAATGTCTTTTGTGCCGGTTATGCTTACCTTTTTTATGATATCTTTTGTATGTTTTTGTTCCTTTCCCTTTCCAGTTTTTGGCTGGTGCTAGAAGGCTCTGATGTTCAGATAATCCTATGACTGGTGTTGTTTTCCTTAACGCATTCTGTCACCCTTCAATTCATTTCGGAAGGCTCTCGCTTTAGCGTCTTCATCTTTGCGTTATTTGCTGATTTTTTTCCAATTCAATTCTAATTAACTTCCTACCCTGACTCTGTTTTGATGGAGATCACACAAGTTAAATTCACTCCTCATATGCAGCTTCTGAGTAAAAAAACGGAAACACGACAGTCGGCAAATACAATGCCTTAGCTGCTCCAATGCTGTTGCACTCGTGATTAGTTGCTTCGGCAAAAAATTCGTCAGTTTTTCATCCGCCATCTGCACTATTGTAAGTAGTTGTCTTTAATGCTTTCAAGAATTTAAAATCCCATCTACCAGTGTTGGGTATTGGTCCAGTACATGTTATTGATTAACTAGGAAAAGGATCAGAATGAAAAGCTTTGTTTGTTATGCTGCGGACATATATATCAATTATATATATATATATATATATATATATATATATATATGAAAAATAATACATGTTATTTCATACGGAGAAGTCTGCCACGGACAGCAGCAACTGGAAAGAAAGAAAGGAAGGAAAAAAAAAAGAAAAGGTTTTTCTTTCATATTGGATTCTTGAGTATTATTATTATAGAGAATTGCAGTGTTCTAAGTGAGGATCTCATAAATAGATTTTGCAGATCTAAATTATTGTGGTGAGACGGATTTAAATTGAGAGATAATTTGTATTGTTGTCAATATTTTCACTTCTCATTAATTTAGTGATTGTATTACTTTATTGAGGTTAGGTTTTTCATGTAAATTTGATGTTCTTGCTATTCTATTTTTATAATTGATTTATTTAGTTATTTATTTTGTATTCTTAATTGTTGTATGAGTTTTTTTGTATAAATTTAATACTCTTGTGGTTTATTCTTATAATTAATTTATTTTTTTTACTTTTAATGGTTGTAAGGTTAAATTCCATACAAACAATGTAGTTGAAATTAGCCGAAATTGTAATTTTCCCTCAGCAGTATGGACTATGGAGCGGACCTGCTGCGTTTCTGAAGTTGGGAGATGATGGGTAGACGGTCACTTACAATTAATTTCCTTGTCATTGCCTTTACATTTTGCGTACAAAAAACAGATAAAATCCATAGAAATGAATCGACCAATGCAGACTTGCATTAAAAATATGAGAGTGACCAGATCCACAGCAGTCATTATAAAAGCCAGGACTGAATTCTGACCCTAAGCTTATATACTCCACAGAACTTCAAGCGAAGAAGAAGCAGGTTGACGGCCTGCTGATGGATTCAGTTGAGACAGTCCGAGAGGCCAAACGAACTCTAGACCCAGCTACAATTCTAGCTATTCGCACAACAAATCCAGCCAATTGCATATTCCAGGCTGACTACCCTGATTATTATTTCCGTGTCACAGAGCGAGCACATGACTGAATTGAAATAGAATTTTAGGCGCATATGTAGTATTTCCCTCCATGCCTGAGCAGTATTCTCATTGCAGAAGAAAGCTCAACTAAATCTTTACCGCTTCATCAATTGGCTAGCATGAAGGTTTACTTTGGTTTTCAGTAATCCGTTACTAATATGATGTGCTAACAGGTGAGAAATCAATGATCCAGAAGCGTCAATAGCTGCTCGCTGAAGAAAAACTAAATAGGAACCAGAATATAGGTTCCTACGATGCTCCATCTCTTGATGCACGTCAAGATATTCTGGTCACGGAGGTGCCCAAAATCGGCGAGGAAGCAGCATTAAAGGTTATTACAGAGTGGGGGCAACCTAAATCCAAAATCAAACACCTCATATTCTCTTCAGTAGCTGGTGTAGATATGCCTGGACCAGATTTTCAACTTGCTAGGCTCCTTGGCCTTGAGACATCCATTAAAAGAGTTACGTTGTATCACCAGGGCTGCTACATTGACGGGGCAGCCATTCGCATTGCCAAGGATTTTGCCGAAAGCACGTTGGCGCTCGCTTTCCTGGTTGTCTGTTCTAATATCACCATTGGTAAGTTTTGCGGTTAGAAAAAATCAGTGGAGAAGAAATGAGGAAAACATGGTGAAAACTCTCACTATGCTTTATAATATTACTCTTGTAGGATAGGAAACTATATGATCTGAACTTAGGACTTGTACAATTCTTTCAAGACCTATATTTATACTATTTTACCGATAATTGTAAAAATTCAAAAAGATAACACATTTGTTAAAGCTTTACATGAATGTACTTAAAATAACTAACTCTTTGAAAAACTCATTTTTATATTATTCTAGCTTTCAAAATTAATTCCAACAATGACGACATCCTAGCTCATCTTGTAGGCAAAGCAATTATGGGTGCATCTGCTTTAATCATTGGTGCTGATCCTCATACGTCTGTTGAACGACCATTGTTCCAAATATGTCAGCTGCACAATCTATCATTCCCGACTCACATAATGCAATCGAAGGACACCTGCGTAAAACGGGTCTTACCATTCATTTGTCATAGGATTTGCCTATGTTAGTCTCCGAAACAATTGGAAAGTGCTTGCATGATGCATTTATTCCTTTTGGTATTAGTGATTGGAGCTTATTGTTTTGGATAGCCCAGCCAGGTGGCGTTGCAATTCTGAACCGGATTGAAGACAAAGTTGGGCTGAAAAAGGAAAAACTATCTGCAACTTGCCACAGTCTTTGCGAGTACGGGAACATGGGTGGTGCTAGTGTGTTTTTGTTCTAGACAAAATAAGGGGAAAGTCTGTTGAGAAAAGAAAGACCAGTGCTGGTGAAGGCGTGTATTGGGGTGTGTTGGTTGGATTAGGCGCAGGCCTCACTGTGGACACAGTGGTGATGCAAAGCGTTTCTATGGTTAATGCCAAATAAGTTATGAGTTTATATATGGTGTGGCTTATGTAATAATAAAATTGGGTTTGATTCTAGTTAAGATAGTGCGTCTTTAAGAAAAATGGATTACCACCATTTGAATCAATGACGTTGCGTAGGTGTTATGTTATGCATTTTGTGGTTTAAAAAATTAAGAATTTCAGATATATAATTTTCTATGAGTTAATGGTGATTTATGTATGTTTGAGTTTGTATGAATAAATAATGACGTCTTTATAAATATGCGATAAAGTCATAGATCTTCAAATTATTCGAACGGTTGGATGCTGATTCTCTTTAGTTGATATAAAGTGGATATTCATCTTTGTTTTAGTGATTTATTATGTGTACCTACAAAAAAAATATTTTTTTTAGTATTTGAAAGACCTTCTAGTAGCTAAGTTAGCATGAGAAAAGAGGTTTTTAGCCTGATTAAATTTGACAATATATTTTTTAACGAGTTTGCCCGAATAAGTTTAGCAATATGTTTTGTTATATATGAAAAAAAATATACTGTTTTATTTTGTATGTGTATAGAATGTAGAAAGCAAAACCTAATTTTTAACATGTGTTATGTTAATTTTTATATAGTAGTAAGGATGATCAACTTACATTAAGTGAAGAGCAAATTCATCTGTCTTTTAAGGGTAAAATGGTTTTTTTTCTTGGCATGCAGTAGACTTTGAACATAGCTTTTACAAACTGAGGACTCTTTTAGATGAATGTCTTACAGTTATCTATGTATATGTTTTCATTTCTAATAATGATGTATAGAGTTGTGTCTTTCATTTAATATCTGTCATTTATGCTTCGTTTCAGTAAAAAAAAAAAGTTACTAAACTTGAAAAGTTATTAATGAGACTGCTTAACAAAGTGTTATCAGTTAAGGTCTGCATATCTGTATATGGGAACAAAATGAGCCTTTTTTTTCATAGTTGTGAGAAACATATATGGGGTTGCATTTTTTCCAAGTGTAACAGTATGTTTTTTTGATTGGATTTATGGCAGGTTTACTTAGAAGCAGTAGCTTTTTATATTTCTCCCTTTACATTCTCTTCAAGTTTAAAATTAGTTTATAGTTAGACCAAGTCTTTTGGGAAGAATGTTATCCAATATCCAAACCGTGGAAGCTGTTTCTTATCAGCTGGACTGCCTTAGTATAATTAATTAGGCCGAACTTGCCAATTAACTAAGCTTGGATCTGTGCGCAATACTCTACTGAAACCAATTTAACATGATGGGCTTAGTTTGAAGTTCCAAGACCAGGACTCATTAGGCTGGGGCTAAGCAAGAAAAAGTTTAGGGCGGAGTTTATCTTGGACCATATATTTTCCCTAATGCTCGCTAAAAAAATCTTAATATTAACTCTATAAGTTTCATTTGTTTCCATTTGCTTGTCCTCTAGCTAAATTGCGGTTTAATAGTAAATTTTATTTCTATTTTATTATAATTTAATAATTTCAGATTTTTAGTATCAAATTATATAATTTGAATCTCAAACTATTAGTTTTTGGACAAACTTAATCTAATTTTTTTAATTGTTGTTATATGTAACAATCAACCTGGATTAACCATTACTTAGAATGCTAAAACGACGTCTTCATTTTGGCATTCTCGTTGTTAATTCTGTTTTAAAAAACGGTATAAAAATATTTTTAACCCCCAATTTTAAACTTTTGTTAAAAAAAGATTTTTTTTCTTATAAAATATTATAAAAATTTTATAAATTATATTAAAAAAAAACATTTTATAAATATTTTTGACCCCCATAATTTTGAACTTTTTTATAATATAATATTTTATAAAAAAAATTATATAATTTATAACTTATAAAATCGGAGGGGTCAACCATTATTTATGCTCATTTTAATTATAAAATAGTATAATTTATATTATAAACATTTTAACGCTCATTGGGTATTATAAATATTTTATAAAAAATATTGTAAAAAAAAATTAATAATACACAATTTTAGGCTTTAAAAACATTATAAATTAAAATGAGCATGATGAAGGGTTGACCCCTCTAATTTTATAAAGTATAAATTATGGAAAAAAAAATTATGAAACATTTATAATATTTTATAATAAAAAGTTTTAAAAAAATTCAAAATTAGGAGGGTTAAAAATATTTATAAAATATTTTTTTATATAATTTATAACAAAAAAAAAGTTAAAAAAGTTTAAGATTAGGAGGGTTAAAAATGTTTTTAAAAAATATAATTAACAACGAAATGTTAAAATGATATCGTTTTGACATTCCAAATAATAACCAATTTAATTTATCGTTATATATATCGTTATATATAACGATAATTAAAAAAATTGAATCATTTTTGTTCAAAAACCAATAATTTAAAATTCAAATTATGCAATTTTATACTAAAAGCTTAAAATTATCAAATCGTAAGAGAATAAAAATAAAATTTATCATTAAACAGCTGAATTGCTCCAAAAAAAAACTAGCGGAGGGCTTTTTTTTCCCCTTTCCTCCTAAATTCCCGTATATGGGGTAACATCTTACACGAACCTATCCAAAAAAAAATAATAATAAGAAAATGGCCACATTATCATTGAAGAATTTTAAAATAGAGTAAATACAGGGCTCGTAGTGTAGTTTACCCAAAAGTTAATTGATGCCATAAAGGAACTTCAAATTACAAATCCAATCGGATTAAAAGTACATTTGCAATATTTGCCTCTCTTCTTTTTTTCCTCCGTAGTTTTATTATTATTATTATAACGAAACTCAAATCTAAATTTAGTTGGTCATGGAGACAGCAAAAAACTAATTGAGCTGCCGATCATTAACAACTTTCTGTACAATTAGTTGAATCAATGGCTCCAAATTAAATTGCAATATGTGTAACCATACGATTTTTTATGGGTTTTATTACTAGCATTCACCACAAAACAACCAGCATATATCTTACTGTCTAAACCAATTAGTAATACCAGAAAAAAGAAAGACAATTTAAAAAATAAAAATAAAAAGGCTTATCCAGCGAAGCCAGAGCAATGATGTTTATGGACTCTGCCAGTTCCAGCATGTAGGTAATATCTTGCTTTTCTTTTTCTTTCTTTCTTTGTTATTATTATTATTATTTTTTTTTTTTTTTTTTTTGGCTTACCACACTGTCCACCCCTTCAATAATTGGCCTAACCAATTGAAATGACCAGCATTCCTGGGACAACAACTCTTTTGGATTTGAACTACTAAAAGAACTGCTAAACCAAATTATTATGCAATCAGTGAGTGCTATACTCTAAACTTCCAAGGATAAAAAATAAAATAAAAAAATCTCATCACTGAGAGGAAAGAAGACAACTCTATCAACAACCTTCCCATTTGGTCTCCAATCTATAATTAAAATCTTCCAATTTGCAAGTTGTTTAGCAATAAAGTCACCCTCATGGTACCTTAGAAAACTCCCATACTGATGCTTACGATACCCGCAAAAGCACATATTTTTTTAAAAAAATCAATCAATTAGACATAGAATATGAGTTGATTCTCTTTTAATAAGACAATTATGGAGCCATCATAGCTTTCTCTCTAGTTTTCTTCTAGCCTACATTGTTTCTTACTCTTATTTTAGTGATGGATCTGAAAGCAGTGAGGCACAGTGACATCATTAGCCTTCTAATTTAAATGATACTTCTTTTATTTATTTTATTTTTTCCTTGTTAGTAAAACTTTTGATTAATTGCAAGACGCATGAATAAAATCTGGTTAAGCCCCCTAATAATGAGACAGGAAGACTCGAAATTATCGTTCCACGTGGAAGCTTATTAGACAAATAGACGGTACTGTTGGACTTGAACAAAGCAAGAAAGGGTCGGGGTTTATCCCCGACCTTATCTCTATGTGTTCTATTGTTTTGGAGTAAATCTTTGCAAATGCAGCTAAATGGTTAAGTTATGATAAAAGTACAATTTTTTTTGTTTCTTAAAAAGAAAAAAAAACGGCATGTAGGATTAGTACTTTCACTGTCATGTTCTATTGCCAAATCCAGAGCAAAGTGGTTTTGGCTTATGTTTTACCAATACATGCTTAGTAACATTCCCTTATGTACAAAATTAAACTACTTACAGATCTTACTGCCTTGTTTATTAGTATTTGTTAGGAAAGACACCCTAAGCTTTACTCATTCAACAATAATAAGTAGGACGGCAAGTAATCAAACACGTAAAGTCAGTGAAAAAGATCAAGAGTAGAAAAGGAAAGAAATATAATTGAAACCATGTTAGTCCTGTAGAGATGTCACAATTCAGGGACCGAAAACTCAAATTAAAGAAAGGATTGAATAAGGTCATAATCAATATAGTGCCGAAATGCAACCAAACCATTTGTGAGTTTTCAGACTATCATGTTAATTAAGACATTAGTATCACTTTGATTGTGTTAGAATTGTTTTCCGTTAGGGGTGTTCATTATTCGATGAAAACCGAATAATCGAATCGAACCGCATCGAAATATCAATTTCGGTGCTGTTTTTTTTTTAGAAACTAAAAAATAAAAAACCGAACCGAAGTATAGGCGGTTTTCGATTTCGGTTTCAGTTTTTTTTTTTAATTCGGTTAAAACCGAATAACCGAAATTATTAAATTTTTTTTTAAATTCATCGGTAAAAGACGTCGTTTATTCCAATCTTCACACCCCCACCTCACCCTCATGCAAGCCTAAGCTAATTGGAGTTAAATCAATTAACCCATAACCAATTCTTATTGCATTGATGACATGAGCCAACCGACCCAACGCCAAATGACCATAACCAATTCTTGTTTATAACCGCCCAAGGAAGTACATAATTTCTTTCTTGATTCAATTTATAGTTTAAAAAAAAGATATGAGATAGTGTTTTTTTTTTCTATGTGAAAGAAAACTAGTTAATTTATGGACCACGATAATAATTAGTATGTCTTTTTTTAGTAAATACATATAATTTAAAATTGCGCTAAAGAAAGTTGAGTATTTAAAGTTTTAATATTCTTCATTGTTCAAAAACAACATTGCCATTTAATTAGCGAGATGTTAGCTTATGATTGTAGTGTTTAACAAGTTATCCAAAATTATTAGTTCTAATTACGTCAAGTTAATTAAAAGTGTCTTTCATAAAGACAAATAAGTCGATTATATTTGAGCTTCAAAGCATACTCGTTTCTTTTTAGAAGGAATTGTTAAAATATCTTAATTGTAACACATATTTGACGGTATTATCTACCGATATCGATAGACAATAACATATATTATATATTATTAGACTTTATATAGTAATGATGACATCTCGTATTATATATATATATATATATTAGTAATGCCTATTGAGGAGTAGTAAAATAATAGTAAATAGACAGAGTTTAATGAGATTGAAAAACGTATACATATAGGAACATAGCTTAAAAATCACAATGCAAATACTAAATTTATTTTTTCGAAAGTGCATGATCCTTTCAAAAATCAAAATTATAGATAATTACAGGTGAAAACCAAATTACTGAATAAAAAAACTGATATATTTTAAAATCGAACCGAAAAACCGAATAACAATTTGGTTCGATTTCGGTTATTTTTTTAAATAATTCGATTAACCGAAAACCAATAAAAAAAGTTGGAGTTGTTAGAGTTGGATCTCGTAAGATTTTTCTGATCACAGTTCAAGAAAGATGAAATCTCACCGCTAATAGCTTGTTATTTAAAATAATTAAAAAAATATATGCTAATAAAAAAGAAACTAGTTTTTTATCCGCCCTTGACAAGAAGTAAAACAAAGCAGTGCAAGTTCCCAAATATGTCTGCTTTCAGATTTTCCATCTGCCACTGGGTGTTAGCCTGATCTGCTGGTTGGTCCACAACAGTACTGTATACTCGCAATGGGTCATCAGTAGAGATCAAAACCCGTGACTGAATCATGTTTCAAAAGATGCAACCTCATCGGATAATTGTGAGTTTAGGAATTCCTTTTGAGCTGGCCAACGCAAGGCAATCAAGCAGCATTTGTTAATGAAATATGCAGTCCTATATCTCATAAAGTATTACAACATATGAAAAGCTCCAAACATGCTTTAAAACCATCAGTAGTAGTACTGGCTTGGACTCAAATCGACAACCACTCCAAGTCTGACCTAGATGAAGGGCCTAACATGTCCCAGTTTCCTACATTGTTAATAGAATACATATATGTCTATGTAGTACTAAAACATATGAAAAACAGAAAACATACTTAGAAACACTGATTCCATTCAGTTTATTTAGGCAAGCACTCAAAGTCTGACCTAAAAAATTCTTAAAAGATGCAGATATGCTTTTGTGTCGGAGACAGATCACATTGCTAAAGGTCAGATTTGCTAACTCTAGCCGGTGAAATTAATTTTAGGTGGCTCGATTAACATAAGGAAACATGTACTACACCAGTACTAGTGCACATAAAAAAATATTTTAGAGAATGGAATCTCGTGGCCCTGACGACGGACAATGAATCTCATCTCTTACTAGGTATATACGAGTGAATATATCTGTTGAACCAAATTTTTAATAACAGAAGTTGACAAGAAAGGTATATATCTGGGCCACAATTATTAGCTATCTATTTGAATATCGTTTTATAATTAAGAGAGAACCGGTTGTATGGTGCTTTGACTTCGGTTATGAATGTTTAATCCCGGTGCTTTCATCACCATTAATTGGTCTCTAGATGGTGATGGGCACCTTGCTTTAAACAATTATAAATTAATAGTGAATTAGGCTATGCTTCATTAGCATTTACGTCTCCTCTTTGTCTTTTTTTTTTTTTCAAAAGATATTAGGTTTAAATCTCTCACTTAGAATGCTATTTTAAAAATAAATAAATAGGAGTCCATTAGAAATAACAATAAAAGCAGCATGCATGTAATGATCTACGTCATCCAGTTTGCATCCAATGGAACTTAATTAAAGAAGATTGTTTATTCCTAAAATTAAAATCGTTAAAAAGAGACTGTTGATGACGAAATAGATATTAAGTTTTTAATTATTCCTTGATTAATCGTACTGTTAGAAATGGCGACAGATTATTGTATATTAACCCTGAAGAATAACCCGTGAGGTCATCACAAAAAGGTGAGTTTTAAACCATATGCAATTTAATTACTCGTTGCATTCAACGCTGGCGTAAGAACTAAGAAGTACAATTGATAAATGCATAAAGTTTAATAATTCGAAAACGCTACTATTAATTATTTAATTTTTTTAGAAAGCTAATTATTTAAAATTAGTTTAACTAAATATGTATACAGTAGCAATATCTCTATTGTAGTAAATATGGAATCTTTTAAAATGTGCTACGAGAACACTGTTAAAAATGATTTATAGTTTTAAAATGAGTTAATCACAAATTTAGTGTACCAACTTATTAATTTTCTTTAATCAAATATGTATTTTTTTAATTTTTGTTAATTGAGATCGAGAGGAAGAGATAGAGACAGAGATAGAGTTTTGTGAGAAATATAGAAAGAGATGAAGACATATATTTGTGTCTTCCTTTATTCTTCAACAACAAATACAGATTTTAAGAAGCGTAATCCAGTCCTATATCTAAATGATAGATCTTTTAAGCAAGCTATCCGTCTAAAATATCTTTCTAAATTAGTTTTCCTATCAATTATATCAAATATCAATCATGTAATGTTGCTCCGTTAATATTTTTTTGCCGGAAATTAATTTTGGAAAAGATAGCATCGCCTTTCTTTTTCAACATGAAAGCTTGATAGATCCTTTCAGTTGCAACTGTTGGTGATGTCTTCGACTTTGACCGGTCTTCTCTCAGGTGGCCGTCCATACAGAACCATGGGCGTGACCAACGATAGCGGTGCGTCCCTTTCGGCTACGTATCTTTATCATACTGTTCACTGCGTGCCGGCCGTTTGATTAATAAACTACAATTATGATTCTATCAAGAGACCATATGTTGCCACGTCTTAGGCCAAACTTACCACATCCTTCACTGCATCAAATATAAATGTCAAATTTTCATGGTTACGTGAGTAATTTTACACCCTTTCCTCTCTTCGAAAATCAGAGTTTCACTGTCTTTATCCATGGATTGCCGAGCTGACTTTGACTGGATAATAATAATACTCCAATATTTGGCTGTCGATTTGATTGCTGCAATTCCAGCCATCCGATGGGTTGACCTTCCAGTTCACAAATATTTTTCTCAATTTTAGATGTGAGCAAACTAATTAATTTTAAATCCATCAGGGTTGTTTACATACGTGATCAGTACTGCTTGCTATTATTAATGAAGATTTTTGGATTATGACTTAAACAAATAAAAAAAATGATTTAAAGCCTTTGTAGATGTGATTCGTTTTCCCAACAATTCGAAGTGTTTCTTAAACAAGTAAAGAAACATTGCAAATGCAAGCTTCACTTTTAATTAACATCATTAAATTTCGGGACATCCTACTTTGTTATATAGTACTCAATTCCCGTAATAAATAAATAAATAAATAAAAACCAACTGATAATCGAAAAGAAAAGTAACCATGACTCGTGATATAGATTGTTTCCAGTATAGTATAACGTGATAATATTCACATTTATCCAAATTCCTTTTTTTGACGCCGTATTTATTTGTCAAAAGTTTCAACAATTTATGCTATATCTATACTATAGGTAAACCTTAGGCTTATTCTCTAATACTATAGAAAACCTATGGAAGTTAATATTTATGTGTGTATATGAACAACATTGCTTTTTCTTTTGTACAAAAATTAGAGAATATGCATGTTAATATACAAAAATTTAACTCATCCATCTTAAAGTTTAGAGTGTATCAGAAAATAAAACTGATATATAAGGACCTACGAATCCATTTATCCATTAATTACATATCTTATCGAACTTTTGAAGTATAAATCATCTGTTTTGTTGGTCCTAAATGTGTATATAGAAACATAATTAAATAATAAAAATTATTTAATAAATAAATATATAAATCTATTATAAATTAAAATGAATAAATAATTGAAATTTTTATTTTAATTATTTAAAAAATTAGAAAATAAAATCATATTATCATGATTTAATGGTATAGAAATAATTAAACATTTAAAAACATCATAGTTGAAAAGTTGATTAGGATTTAACTAAATAGTTTTCTTCGAATAATATGTGCCTTGAAATAATAAGTAAAATTTATTTAATATAATAAATCTATCATGTAATGTACATCATCTCATATATGTATATATAACGGTCCAATCATCTCTATTATTACAATATAACTAAAAAAGGACGCAAATGAACAGTATATTACTATTCATTTATTGTTTATTTGCCTTAATTCACTATTCATTGCATGGCACTTTTATAATTTTTGCAATGGTATTTTTGTAATTTTCATAGTTTTTTGAACATTCGTTTTTAAATTTTACACTTCATTCATTTTTGGTCCCTTATGTTTTCAAAATATATTTTTAAAAATATTTTGACATCTCATGTTTTTAACTTAATCCATTTTTTTCTAAAATTTTTTCAAAATATATTTTTTGTTCCTCATATTTTTAAAAGATGTTTTTGGCTTCTTATATTTTTAAATTTTATAATAAAAATATACATCAGATTATATTTTTTATTGATTAAAATTAATCTCTTAAATTTGTCATTTATTATAAAAATTTTCATCAAATTAAATTTTTAATTTTTTATAAAATTTTATTTGTTAATAAATATAATTTATCTTTCTCTATGTATGAATTTTTAATATGTTTTTTAATAAATAATAGAATTCATGTGTTTCTTTAACTTATTTTTGATATAATCAATTTTTTTTGGAATTAAATTTTAAATTATTTTTATTATGTTCTATTAAATTTAATATATTTATTACAACTTAAGTTTTTTTAAACATATTTTTTAATTTATACATAGATGGTATTGATGTCTACAAAAAAGTATTGAGATCATTGGTTTTATTAAAAAATAATTTTGCATTTACACATATAACACCAGCTATTTCCTATTATTTATTTTTAATATTTTAAATTTAATTTATTTTAAATAAAATAACATTTTAAAGGAACCACCTAATAATTCAAATACATGTTTTTATACCTAATATTATTGATTGTTTTGTGTGTGTGTGTGTGTGTCTATATATCAAATGTGCATACTTTTAAAAAGTTTTTAAAAATTCATTAGTTAATTTTTATATGAATTTTATATATTGCTGGTATATTTCTCCGATATAACCTTATCAAAAAAATATTAAGATATTTTTAAAAATTTTATATTTATATTATTGTAGGTTTTTATTTAAAAATGAGTGAATAGAAAAAAAAACAAATTGTGCTTTTTTAATAACAAAATCTATTAAAAACATAAAGAAGCACGAATGAAATACAAAATTTGATTAAAAATTATGAAATTAAATAAAATTTTTATCTTTTTTTAATTTAATATATATTATTAGGAAAAAATTAAAAGAACTGAGATATTTTCTATTTATTTACTATTTTTTTTAGATTTAGATTCACTATTCATTATGTTACTTGATTTTCGCCCCTACGTTTTCGTTAATTTCTCTCTTGACACTCGATGGATTTGAGAAACTTCATTTTTTCCTTGACTGATTCTCTTTTTAATTTTATTTTTGGGCCTTTTTTGTCGTTTTCTTCTTTTTTTCAGATTGAGCATTTAATGCTCCTGTCTTCTTTTAATTTTTGTTTTTTGTTTTTATGTTCAACAGGGAAGCCAAAGTCACTTACTATGCAAGAGTGATTATAAATTAGTCCTTCTTTCTTCAAGAAAAAAATTAATCAGTACCTATTGTTCAATTTATTTTATTTTGCCCTTTTTTCTATTTCAATGTTTTTATTTTAAAAAAAATAAGTAAAAATATATATAAAAAAATGACATTTAGTAAAATAAAA